CAAACGCACAGCCACACGCAAACACAGAACACGTGTCGTATGAGCAATCCTTTTGTCTTTGCGTTCGCTTTGTTATTGTTCTTGAGCCTGTGTGCGTTTTTATTGAAATTAAATTGTTCGTGTTAAATTTCACCGCCACAAATTGTTGGCCTGCATGTGTCTGCATGCTTGGGCGTGAAAGTGTGCGTGTGTGAGTTCCTGGTGCCACTTTGCACGTTAGTCAATGTCATGTTGCCCCACACTTTTTGCACACGGAAAAATGCAGAAATTTGCCTTTTTATGATTCCAAATATTTCAATGCAAACATTTTTACATTTTTAGAATATTTATTACATTTAAAATAACTACTGGCCTACAAAAATATCTAAAGAATTTAAACGACTAAACCTACAGATGTCAAAAAGATTATATTTTACTCACTGCTATTAACTTTTTATTAGTTTTTTAGCGGTATCAGTTTTAAGCAAAAATCAGGAAGACTTAAACAACTTTGTATTTCTTTCAGTGTATACCGGGATTCTCCAGTCCCATCCCCTCACTCACCTCACGCAGCTATGTCAATTTTGTGGCTTGTTGTCTCTTCGCCTAGTTGGCATGGGAAATTGTTGGACGTACTACGCGGCATATGAGCAACATTTGTGGGGCACTTGGAAAGCCAAGTTGTACATACAAATATGCATAAGCTGCAGGCACTTACAGGTGCTCGACAATTACTTCACAGGTCCGCTTGTGCAACAGTTGCATTCTGCAGCTGTCTAAAATTCGGTTACCTGTTAAACACCTTTAAGAAACTTTTCCCCAATTCGGCCAACGAATTCTTTCGGCCCTCTCTTTGTGAATCCTTAATGCCGAAATTCTGTCAGTTGACTTATTCGCATTTGCTGAGGTTTCAGTTGGTAGTCTTAGTGCTTAAGACAAACCCACTGAAAGTGGGTTCAGTCAAAATAGTTCATTTGAATTTCAGCACAGAAAGACCAAATAGAGCCAGGCTTTAATCCTTGGTATATCCCAGTTGAGCCAAGAGAAAAAACATTTATTAAGCTACGCAAAACTTTAACAATTTATTAAACTTTAGTTTTCATGAATCTCGTTGTACTATTCTCATTGTAGCAAAAACTTTCGTACTAATTTCATCCATTAATATTCTGTAGTGAAAGTTAAGGAAATTGTTTACTTTTGGGCAAGTTTAATTGATAGATTTTGGCTTTATTTAATTCATTTGATTTAATTTTTTTAATATTTCAGTTATTTATTTAAATTATTGAATTTAATTTCTGTTTTGTACAAAAATTATCGCATTGTCTTTCTTTCTTATCTTCTTTCTTTAAGCACCTTTTAAGTTATTGACCCCATTATTTATATCCAATTGATAGTATTTCACTCGCTTCATTCCGTTTCTATTTGACTTTATCAACTGCAACTAAATGCTGATGTTGACTTAGTTTAATTGGAATTTCCCCTACCGGGCTCTTAAAATATCGAGCGCACTTTAAAGCGAAATTTAAATGGTGTTAGTTGAGCATTTCAATGCTATTCATTGCGGTTTTCTGTTTGAGTAAATGTTTGCTTAAATTGTGGCTAAAATGGTTTTTGCCTTTTTTTCGAGCTGCAAGGGCTGGCTTTAAGGGTTTCGCTGCTGTAGTTGTAGCTGTAGATGTAGCTGTAGTTGCCTTCCTTGTTAATGCTAATTGCATTTTGTCTGCCAACCTGCTCGGAGCAAATGGAATTACGGAAAATAGTTGCCGAAGACAAGAGGCAGCCAGCTGGCAAGGCCAACCCGCAAAACCGCATTCAAGCCACAGAATTGCTGGCTAATTCAATACGGCACAATTTGCTGTTCATTTCTGACTAGTTTCCCTTAATTTTTTTTAATTTTTACACATTACCGGAGGAGAAAGATCAATAGAGGTCATGCGATTTATTAGCCTGCCGCAATTTACATTGAATATGCAATGATTTGCTCATGATTTATGGCCAGTATATCCTGCATAAGGTATCCAACGAGCTCATCAATTAGGCACGACAAGTGCGTATGTAAAATGTGGATCAAAATGTCAATGCCGATTTATGGTTCAAAAATCGGTCAGTTGGGAGATATGTGTATGCAAGGTTAGCAAGTTTAATGTGGCCCAAAGGCTTGAATCATAACATATATGTTACATCGATGATTGGGGAGTCCACCCGCCACTGATGCTGCGTAAGAGAAGTTTTGGCAATACGCGCAAGCCATATACTGATTTATATGTATTATTTATCCCGCCAACACAACAGCGTGCTGCCAAATACATACCTCATATACGGCGGTATATACATTCCTCCAGCCTGGGCAAACATCTGCCGTATTCTCATACAGAGGCAGGTCGAAAAAAAAATATTATTGAGGCAGTGCTCGGTCAGGCGCAGAAACACACACACAACCGCACAAATATGCGCATATAAATATTACGTTTTGTTTTTTTTTGGGTGCACAGGAAGCCTATGCACAGATTTGCGAAAGAAAGTTTCAAATGAGTTTCCATTGAAACGCCCTAATGCCAAATTAAGGCAAAATCCCGCATCGGGTTTATATGGCAGAAAATGAGACGTCAGACATGTCACATGCACACATATCACACACCCATCACGCACACACACACACACTCAGTGAAAAGGAAAAATTCAACAGGAACGGCAACAAAAAATGGCCAACGAAAAGAAGGGAAAACAGCTTGTAATGAACGAGCCAAAAGCTTAGGCATCATCGCCAAGAGTTTCCAGTTTTTTGTTCATATTGCCCATACGACATGTTGGCTTCCAATCACTTTCTAGATACACCCGAGAGATTGATGTTCAAAGCTGATGCCAAAAAACCAGTGAAGTTGGAAAAAGGCTGTACCCCAAAGATTTGCTAAATTGTTCCCTGCATATTTGGTTCGTGTTAGGTAATCTTCACTTTAGCATCTGCTACCAAAAGTTTTAATGATGTGTCAGCTTCAGATAGCGATATATTGTGACAAAGTTTAGAAGGGTTGGTCAGCTTTGATAAAGTGCCGCCCGCTTGAGTCGCTTAAGTTGGCTCAATAAGCGAATTAAAAATGCGTGAAATGCCGCCCACAAAGGGAAAAATAAATTTACCAGTACCCGGACTCCTTTATTTATTTTTACCCCTCTAATTCCTTTTAAGTTCATTTTTTTTCGTACATATATACTTCATCTTTGGGCAATCAGGGGACAATCTTAAGGGCAAAATCAAGGCAACTCGGTCGAATGGGAATCGATGGGTAAATATTCGTACTCCCCGGGCCCATTCTCCTTTCTCTCTCTCTCTTTGGTATTTCCCTCTCTTGTATAAACACCTTAATCAAATTTCACTTCAAAGACTAACAGTTTCTGCTGTTTGTGCTGCTTACAAAACTCTGTTTATATATGGCTCGTATATAAATGTACGCACACATGGCTTTGTTTATAGTTTCGGCCTGTTCTCCAATAATTAATTGTGCATTCATTTTAATTAAGACCCATATCTTTCGGGCTAAGATAAATGGCTAATTGTGTGGAAGGGTTAACGTGCTAGGGAAACTATTTTCAATTAGCAAATGACATTGGCATCGATTCTCGTCATTTTGCGACATCAAAATGAACTTAGCAGGCTTGTCCAGCTTATGATTTATCCTTATCTGCGGCATATCCTTCGGGGCGCCCCTCACGCACACCCACACACACACACACACAGGCACTCGAGTGGCTCGTACTAACGAGGCTAGCTGGGCAGCGGCAACAGCTTCAACTTGTTGACGTTGGCTCCCAGCATCACGGCGAGTGGTGGGCGTAAAGGACGAAATAAAAAAATCACCAGGCATTGGGAGCCAGCAAATTGTTGAATGTACATGTACATTCTGAGTCTGTGTGGGCGAATTTGTATTACAGTGCAGCAACCCTAATTTGAACGTCTTGTTTGGGGAGCAGATATTAACTTGAAGACAACAAGCTTGAACTTTATTTTGAAACTTTGCTTAAATTTAAAGATTGATTAAAAGAATTCAATTGGGTATTTGTAAATATTTTATGAATTCAAAATATATTCTATTTAAAACATTTGAATCAACAAAATTACTGGGGTTTATGCACTTTATCGAAATGGAAATACTAGTTTATTTGTTTTTCAGATTTGTTGACATGCATATAAAGAATGACATACAAAATATCACTGTAGTTTTTTTAAAACAAAAGTCTCAAATAACTGTTATTTACAGTCACTGGTTTAAACAGATCTTAATGTTAGTTAGTGGCAAAAAGTTTAGGTATACAGGACTTTAAGGTATTGAAAAATTCAAGCCTACTTAAATATTTTGGAACTTATTAACTTATTTCTTATGAGTATGTTTGAAGTTCCAGATATATGACGAAGCCCTGTATTTTTTCCCCCATTCGCTCTACATACAAGCACCAACACAGGCACGCAGACACACGGACGGGGAGACTCGAGTGTTGGACTAACTGTTTTGCGGCATGCCAGTGCCCAAAAGAGCGAGCGGGACGCAGCGAGGTGGGGGTAGAGGGGTGAAGGAAGTGGGGGCGGAAGAGGCGCAAAGAAGAGTGGAATGGAGGGATCGAAACGCGAGGAGGACGAGAACGAAAGAAAGAATGCCGGAACGAAACAGGCCTGGTCCTGCTGAAACGTTAAAGAGCAAATAAATGTCTTGCAGCAAACAAACGAAAAAGATGAAAGAGGGGTGGGGAGGGAGGTAAACGGGGGAAGAAAGAAGAGAGAGCGCAGAAGGAGCCGCAGAACTCCACACGCACACAAGGATGCTGGCCGAAACACGCTTGCTTATTACCGTTACATTCGGGGACTACTCCAAGGAAGGAAAGCGGCCGAGAAAGAGACGGGGAGAGGCTCCTTTTTACTGCTCTTGTCGAATTTTATGTTGTTAATTTTCGTTTCATCCGAAATTTGATTGTTTTTATTTAATTTTTGCCTGCTTCGCTTTCTTATTTATTGATGGCCTGGCCTTTCTCACCTTTTTCTTATTGTTTTATTTAACACTTTTTGGCTATTTGGATATTTATGTTTAATTTTTCTTATTTTTTGTATTCGCTTAACGCACGTTGTTATCTTTATATTTATTTTTTGGCTCGGCAGGTTGTTGAATCTTTTATGAGCCTACCAACACAAACACACGCACTCACACCAGCACGCTTGTCTTTTTTCACGTTGGTTATTTCTCTTTTTATTTTTTTGTGGTTTATTTCGGAAAATCCTCCGCTGGCCGACCGACGTGTCCGCCGATGGAAATCTCGCCCAACACTGAATTACCCTTGGCATCAGTTCTGCTCTCTGCCGCGTCGATGGCGCCGTCGACGTCGCCGCTGCCGGCTAACAGCGCCTGTTAAGCTAACACTATAGGTCAGTGCTAATAACAGAGACACCTGCATCGCACTTGGCCAATCTGGCTAGCCTTAGTCTGTTATTTATACGCTGTTGCATATTTCAAGCATCTGTTTTCTATCACAACTTTGTTGCTGCTCTACGCATGTGTGTGGGTGGGAATGGGAGGTAGTGGGTGGTTGGGCGTGCACTGTTTACGAGCCGCACTGCTAAGTAGTCTGTAGTTTTTTTGCGTACACGTTGGTGAAAAAATGCCATCTAAAAATAGTTTCAACAGTTTACCAACTCAATGAATCAGTGGCAAAGAAGATGATAATCAAATTTCAACATCATAATATCACACATGGCGGATGAGTAATATTCTAGCTAAAGATGGTTTTTTTAAATATTATTAAGTGCAAGAATTAGCGACTTTTAAAAGATTTCTTAAAAACTATAAATTTTATTAAGAGTTGATTAATGTTTTTTTATGTAATGACAAGTGTTTAAATCAGCTCTGAATGTTTGAAAAAATGAAGTAGTTCCTTTCTTTTAGTGTATTAATCATAATGTCAGCAACTTTAATATCTGATAAATTTTGAAAACGCTCAAAATTTTTTATAATAAATATTTTGTTAGATTTTTAATTATGTTTTTTTTAGTGTTAATATGTATGATTAACTAATAATTTTATATTTTTTGTTTTTACTTTTTTTTTTTCTAAGGTATTTATTTAATTTTAAGGAGGATGTTTGAATATTTTCTTGCCGTGTTCAGCATGTTTTGTTTGTAGAGAGCACATTTTATGGTTTTGCTTCCGCTGCCCAAGCGGAAAACTCTTACTTTATGCCAACCGTTTCGGTGTTATTATAGCCGAGCACTCTTCTGTCCTCCCAGTTTTATGCGTTCATTTTAAAGCCCGAACTATGGGAATTTTTTATATTAAATACACAAAGAATGGAACACATGTTGCCGAAAAATGTAGGCCCAAAAAGAAGTAAGCCTACCAAAGATGGCCGCCCCGCGCAGCCTCCAAAAATCTGTTGTTGTTGGTTCTGCAGTGTGCGTAAAAACATACATACACATAAGTTGGCTAATGGCGGGCCTAAAGTATCCTGGGAATACATCTACATACAAATGGTACCTAAACACTCTTGTATTTGTGTTTTATTTGGAGAGCACGCGCCATTTAATTTGGCATATTACTTTTTGAGGGACTGGGGCCCAAGACCTGAGTCGAGCCTAAGCCACATTTAATTCGATGCCCGACTAGCACGTTATTAATATGCGCCGATTTTCAGCAATCTCCCCGCAACAGCTGCGAACGCTTTGAGCCTCGAACTGCGACTGAAATCGAAAGTGAGTGGGCGGGAAATTTAACATTTAATTTTAACACCAACAGGAATGGAGACAGCAACAGCTACAGCAATGCGGCAGCAAGTATGCCAAAAGCCTTGAAAGCCCGGCTAACAGAGCGCTAGCAGGGACTGGTTGAAAAGTTGGCCAATAGGTCAGTTACACTGCAGTGACCAGAACATAGGACCTGCCATTTGACGCAGCTCTCAGCCAACTTTCGCTGTTAAATATTAACACGTCCATCATCAGACACTGAGCTAAATTAAACTTAGCTTTACGTTAATACACAAATACTGTGTTTATACGATGCCGAAATCACAATTTCACTTCATTAAATGACCCAAATAGTGTTTGCATAAACACCATATCTTGACTTCAATGACACCCAAAAGTTGACCATGATTTAAGCCTCAATGCATGACCGCCTTCTTAATTTTACAGAGCTTTATACAAATTTCCAATAATATATCTGTGCCACAGATTCTGTGGTGACTACTCTGCTCTATCTCAACTCTAAAGAGCTCTTTATAAATTTTGAGTATTATGTCTGCATAAAATCATGGCATAAACGTAGCAAGGATTATGATTATTGACCTTTCATTAACTTTCTATCCGTATCTAAAAAATATATTAAAAGTCGCAAGAGGTGATATTTTCTTCATCGTAGCTATTTATATTTGTTATAGATGTTTATATAACTTTCATGTCTTATCTAAAGCATAAACAAAAATTAATAGAATAATCCTATCAAATTCGTTGTTGGATATTTCGAGTTATATTCAAATTATATTTAAGATATTAAAATAATCGGCCCATTTATTTGAATAATAAGTTATTTCGTACATTAGTTCATAACACACCATAAACTCTCGAATTATAGATTTTAATTATAGCTACAAGGGTATATAAACTTCGACTTTGGCATCTTATTTTTACATATTATTTTCTTGTTATTATAATTAAGCTAAGTATTCATTCTAGTTTTGAACAAATCGTAAAGCTGCTCAGTATCACCAACGACTTTGCTGAGAGAAGACGTTTTACGGGAATTATTTTGCATACAAAAACAACTATATTTTTTTTGTCTAACAAGCACATTTAAAAGAAACAGCAGCAGTTTAAGTAAAAATACAATGTCCCGACCACCAGATACGAATTCTCAATCGCAAGTGGACAAACCAATTATTTTAGAACCAAAAAATATTTCAATGTCAAGGACAGATGACAACTGCTTAGATTTACATTCTGCACGTGATAAGAATGGGATCAAACCAACGTGCTACTCAAAGGAAAACTTCTCATATTTAAATGCAGCATATTTTAATACGCTTGGAGAACAATCGAATCAATCAACACTAGCAGAAACAAAGCCCTCTAATAATATACAACCTGAACCAAACGGAAATAATAATTCCTACCAAGATAGCCTAGTAAACGCAAACCACCTTACACAATGTCATCAACTTACCAACCCATTGAAAGAAGATCAAATCACACAGAATGACCTCAATTCCGAACGTAAGCTCAGAAATAAATTATATTTTAAATCCACTCGAACTTTTGTGGTTAAGTTAAGTTTACAATTTAATTTAAGGCTAGAATCCCCAGCTAATTTTGTCCTTTTATCGGTAGAAGAAATGGACTCGACAAAGGTTGAGGACCTGCTTGAAAATCCTCGAGAGCGATCCAATTTTGTTTCAGCGTCATGCTTTTGGTAAGAAAATTAACCTAAGAAAAGTTTTATAAAACACTTGAAGTAAGTTAACAACAATTAATTGAATATAGGTACACCATGCCCATCTTTTTGAAGGGATCGAAGAAAACACTAGATGCAAAGGACCTTTACAGACCTTTAGCGGAGCACAAATCAGGTATCAGCAATTTATTTTAAAGATATTAACTTTTAACTGTTAACTTGTGCAACTTTTTCAGATACTCTTGGCAGTAAATTGTGTGCCTCTTGGGACCGAGAACTGAAAAATGACAAGGAAAACCCGAAACTGCTTAGAGCTGTTCTGCGTGTTTTTAGCTGGCAACTTGGTGCTCCTGGACTGGCCATTTTCCTGGTAGAGCTGGGACTAAGAACTTTTCAGCCGATGTTCTTGGTTAGGCTCATTTCGTACTTCTCACCAGACTCATTAGCCATCGAGGTGGGCTATTTGTATGCGATCGCTTTGATCCTAAGTAATGCCCTCGGTCTGATGATCATCGCTCCTGCCATCTTCTGCATCCATCATGTGTGTAAGTCTACCGCCCACCTATTTATTTATAGTTTCGACCACCGATTGATTTATACTGTTTTCGGTTATTAGGCTTTAAGATTCGGGTGGCCATGAGCAGCATGATCTACCGAAAGGCTATTCGTTTGAGCCAGAGTGCACTGGGTGACACGACGTCCGGCCACGTGGTCAACCTCATTTCCAACGACATCTCCCGCCTGGACATCCGAGTCTATTCAAGCCACTATCTATGGGTGGGGCCCCTTCAGGCTCTGCTGATCACTTACCTGATGTATCAAGAGGTAAGAGCATCTATATTTCCCTAAAAATATATAATTCAAAATTCAACTTGCAGATTGGAATCGCTGCAGTGTTCGGAATGATCTTCATGCTGGGCCTCATACCCCTGCAGATGTATCTGGGTAAGATATCCTCGCTGCTGCAGCTGAAGGCTGCCGAACGGACGGACAACCGGATTCGGATGGTGAATGAAATCATCTCCGGCATCCGGGTGCTCAAGATGTACGCCTGGGAACTGCCCTTCGAAAAGATGGTGGCCAAGGCGCGTCAGAAGGAGATGAACTCCATTCGCCGAGGACAGTACATAAGAGGCTTTCATTTTTCCTGCAGAGCCATCATCTCCCGGGTGGCCATCTTCCTGAGTTTGGTGGGTTACGTGATCTTGGGAAAGATTTTTACTCCTGAAGTGGCTTTTTTGATTACCGCCTACTATAATGTCTTGTTGACCACCATGACAGTTTTTTTCCCTTCTGCCATAGTCCAAACGGCCCAAATACTGGCTTCCTTTAAGCGTGTGAATAAATTCATGCAATCTGAGGAGGTACAAAAAAGGCCAAAAGATACAGAAGTTGGAAAACATTTTCCACACTCAACCATCTCCATCACCAGACTCAAGGCCAAATGGGATCCCAAATCTCCTGAATACACACTTAGTGGGATAAATCTGCAAATTCAACCTGGGAGCATTGTGGCCATAATGGGACCCACTGGATCGGGCAAATCCAGTCTTATCCAAGCCATTCTCGGCGAACTTAAGGCAGAGTGTGGTAAGATAAAGGTGAATGGCTCAATGTCTTATGCCTCCCAGGAGCCCTGGCTTTTCTCCGGCACCGTTCGCCAGAACATTCTATTTGGCCAGCCCATGGATCACCAGCGGTACGCAGAGGTGGTGAAGAACTGTGCCCTGGAGCGGGACTTCGAGCTGCTTCCGCTCAAGGATAAGACGGTAGTTGGGGAACGCGGCTCTTCGTTGTCGGGTGGCCAGAGGGCCAGGGTCAGTTTGGCGCGGGCTGTGTACCGGAAGGCCTCCATCTACCTACTGGACGATCCTTTGAGCGCAGTGGACACCAATGTGGCCCGTCATCTCTTCGAGCAGTGCGTGTGTGGCTATCTACGGGGGAGCACTGTTCTTCTGGTTACCCATCAGCAGCAGTTCTTGCAGCTGGTCGATCAGATTGTGATCTTGGAGAGGGGACAACTCAGTGCTGTGGGCACCTACCAATCCCTACTTAAAACGGGCTTCGACTTTGGCACCATTCTTGGCAAAGCGGAGAAGGAAAATGGGGATCTGGAGGAGAAACGATCACGCTTGGATAGCTGTAGCACAACCCCAAAAGAAAAGCTTTATAAAAGCGAGAATTCCGTTAAAGATTCTTGCCCTGAGAAGATCAATAAGGAGCACCAGAATTCAGGTCGCATCGGTCTGGATGTATACAAGAAGTACTTCCAAGCAGGCGGTGGACTTTTCGCTTTCTTTGTCATGATCAGTTGCTCCATCGTAGCACAGTTCGCGATTTCGTCGGGCGACTTCTTCCTAACTCACTGGTAAGACATGAAATCGGCAAATAGAATATTCTCATCCATTCCTTAACATTCTGAATTAGGGTCAACAAAAGAAGCCAGGCTGCTGCCCAAAACGAATCAGTTAACCTGGAGGATATGGACTCTAAAATAATGGATATTTATCTGTTCACGCTAATCATAATATTTTCGATTTTAATGACCTTGTCGTCCTCGATTTTATTGTTTAATATAGCTAAGAAAGCGTCTATTCGTTTGCACAACTCCATTTTCAATGCAATTACCAGAGCCTCTATGCATTTCTTCGGAATGAATGAAAACGGGAGGATTCTGAATCGGTTTTCCAAGGATATGAGCCAAGTGGATGAAGCACTGCCAGAAGTGATGGTTGATGTGATGCAGACATCCTTTTGGCTGGCTGGAATTATAATCGTTATAGCCATCGTCAATCCCGTGTTGCTGCTTCCAAAATGTATAATGGGAATAATTTTCTATAAGCTGCGCAATTTTTATCTCAAAACTTCTAGGGATTTGAAGCGTATTGAAGCCATAAGTAAGTTTTTATTTAGTTTCAAAGTCTTGAATATTAATAATATTTTTTGTTACAGGTCTGTCCCCAGTTTATTCGCATTTGGCTGCCTCGCTGACCGGGTTGCCCACCATTCGTGCCTTCCAAGCGCAGCGTCTCCTGGAGAAGCAATTCGACAACTTCCAGGATCTGCATAGTTCTGCACGATACATGTCGATTAGTACCTCGAGTGCCTTTGGTTATTGGATGGAAGGCCTATGTGTGATTTACATAGCGATCGTAACACTCAGCTTCTTTGTTTTCCCTCCGGACAATGGAGCTCAAGTGGGTTTGGCCCTAACACAGGTAAACCATTTAATATTAGTCATCACTATGGTCTGCTAAACATTTTTCTTTCCTCGAAGGCCATGGGACTGATGGGTCTGGTGCAATGGGGAGTGCGTCAATCCACCGAGCTGGAGAACACAATGACAGCGGTGGAGAGAGTGCTGGAGTACGAGAGTATTGAGCCTGAAGGAGCTTTAGAAGCTCCAGGTGATAGGAAGCCACTGAAATCCTGGCCAGAGCAGGGGGAAATAGTGTTCGATAAGCTGAATCTACGCTACACGCCAGATCCAAAGGCGGAGAATGTGCTCAAGTCACTGAGTTTCGTCATCAGACCCAGGGAAAAAGTGGGCATCGTGGGACGCACTGGAGCGGGCAAATCCTCGCTGATTAACGCCCTCTTCCGACTGTCCTACAGCGATGGATCCGTGCTCATAGACTCGAGGGACACAAGTGAGATGGGTCTGCACGACCTGCGCAGCCAGATCTCCATTATTCCCCAGGAACCCGTTCTCTTCTCCGGCACAATGCGGTACAACTTGGACCCCTTCGACGAGCACAGCGACGAGAAGCTGTGGAGCTGCCTGGAGGAGGTAAACCTCAAGGATCTGGTGGCAGATCTCCCCAGTGGCCTGCAGAGCAAAATCAACGAGGGCGGAACCAACTTCAGTGTGGGGCAGCGCCAGCTGGTCTGCTTGGCCCGGGCCATTCTGCGGGACAACCGAATCCTCGTCATGGACGAGGCCACGGCCAACGTGGATCCCCAGACGGATGGCCTCATCCAGAACACCATTCGGAGGAAGTTCAAGGAGTGCACGGTGTTGACGATAGCCCATCGCTTGCACACCGTCATGGACTCCGACAAAGTGCTGGTCATGGATGCCGGCAGAGTGGTGGAGTTCGGGACGCCCCATGAGCTCCTGACAGTGGCGGACTTCAAGGTGTTCCATGACATGGTCAAGCAGACGGGTCAGGTCACCTATGAAAGTCTGCTGAAAATCGCACAACAGGTTGGTTCTTTTTGATTTGATTATGTATTATCTTTCACTGTTCTTATTTATTATTCTCAGGCATTTGAGAACACCCAGAATCACAGCCCTTCCTGATGGATAGCTTTCGAATTAATACCATGTGCTTGTGCCCAAACCTTTAGTTAGTTAACACTATTTAAGCATGATAAATAAAATTACAACGGAAATTAAGACAAAATAATTACAATTTAAATTTTGCCAATTTTAAGTATCTGTTTTCTCCGTTAGAAAACGCTTAGTAAAATATGTAAAGAGCATAATAATACCTCGAGCATGTGCTCGATTCTATGATTCTACGGTATTTTTAAAAGCCTTAAATTATCCTTAAAGTATCCTTACAAAACGTAAAAGGTGCTTTTATCTTGACCGCAGCTGTTGATAACTTTCATGGATACAATTTGTCGCGCTAAGGTTACTTTTCTTGTTATTGTACTCCTTCAGGGGGTATTGCAATTTTAGTTTCAAGTTGGTAGGGCAAACCCGAGACGTTTTATACGGGATCAGTTTGATTTATATGAAAATCTTGGAAATATTCAAAAAACGCAGCACTATATAATCTTATAGTTGTAAAATACTTTATTTCCCCGAATCACATTAGATGACTTTAAACTATCGTTGTAAAGATTTTGATTATAGCTGCAAGGGCATATAAACTTCGACTTCAAAACGTATCTTCTTTTTTTGCTAGTTATACATACCGATTTAAAGTTACTTTGCATAATTTGATTAAAACTAGAATTTAAACATTTCGATATAACTGCCCAGTATCACCGCAGACTTTGTTCAGCAAAGACGTTCTACCGGCATAATTTCGCATACAAAAACAACACTATTTTTATTGCTTTACATTTTTTCAAATCAAGACACAATGTCGCGACCACCAGACAAACCAACTATTGTTGAACCGAAATATATTACGAGGACAGATAATAAACTATTTGAAAACGCGTCCCCTTTAAATATTAAGAGTGTAGACGATTATCAGTGCAACGATGAAGTTAAATCAGTCAAACATAACATAGATGAAAATCTAATAGATAAAACCAAAGACATAGCCCAATTTTATAATATTCCGGTTACAACATCCAAAGGTGTCACACACTCAAAAGATCTACAAAACATGGAAGAAGATGAATATTTAAATGAACTTAAGCCCCAAAATGTAACCGATGTCAAAAAGAGTTGTGAGTTTAAAAACAAGCTTATGAAAGAATTACATTCAACACGTGATGAGAAACCAACGCTCTGCTTTAAAGAAAAATTTGCATACATAAATTCAGCATATTCAAATACGTTTGCAGAGCAAACGAATCAGAGAACATTAGCAGAAACACAGCTGGTTAATAATATACAACCAGAGCCAAACGGGAATAATATTTCCTATGAAGATAACCTAGTAAACGCAAACCAGCTTAAACAATCCCAACAACTTACCAAAGACTTGAAAGAAGACATAAACACAACGGAGCCCAGAAACCCCTATCAAAGCGATTCCGACCGTAAGCACGTGTTTCAAATTAATTATATATTCAATCTACAAAGATAAAGACAAATCAAATTCAATCAAATGTAAGCGAACAAGCTAACTTTTTCCCCAGTATTTGTAGAAGAAACGGACTCGCCGAAGGCTGAAGATCTGCCTGAAAATCCTCGAGAGCGATCCAATTTTGTTTCCTCGTCATGCTTTTGGTAAGGAAATGAACACAAGAGAAATTTAAAAAATGCTTAAAGTAAGTTAATAGCTATTATTTGTATATAGGTTCACCATTCCCATCTTTATGAAAGGATCGAAGAAAACACTAGATTCAAAGGACCTTTACAGGCCTTTGGAGGAGCAGAAATCAGGTATCAGCTATCTATCTTCAAAGATATGATAATTAACTTGTGCAAATCTTTCAGATACTCTTGGCAGTAAATTGTGTGCCGCTTGGGACCAAGAACTAAAGAATGATAAGGAAAACCCGAACCTGATAGGAGCTCTTCTGCGTGTTTTTGGTTGGCAGCTCGGTTTCCCTGGCCTGGTAGTTTGCCTGGTAGAGCTGGGACTAAGAACTTTTCAGCCAATTTTCTTGGTTAAGCTTATAGAGTACTTCTCACGCGGCTCTATAGCTAACGAAATGAGCTATTTTTATGCGTTCGCATTGATCCTAAATAGTGCTCTTAGCTTGGTGATCATGGCTCCTGCCGACTTCTTCATCAATCATGTGTGTTAGTCTGCCACCAACATAATTACAGTACTTCTTCGACCGACGATTGATGTATACTATTTTTCGGATTTCAGGCTTTAAGGCTCGAGTGGCCATGAGCAGCATGATCTACCGGAAGGCCCTACGTTTGAGCCAAAGTGCACTGGGCGACACGACGTCCGGCCATGTGGTTAATCTACTTTGCAACGACATTCCTCACTTGGACAATCATGTCTACACCGGCCACTATCTGTGGGTGGGTCCCATTCAAGTTCTGCTAATCACTTACCTGATGTACCAGAAGGTAAGAGGATCTCTTTCCCTGAAAAAGAAATAATCTTAAATTCATGCTGCAGATTGGAATCGCTGCAGTGTTCGGAATGATCTTTATGCTGATCCTCATACCCCTGCAGATGTATCTGGGTACCATAACCTCTATGCTGCATCTAAAAGCTGCCGGACGAACGGACAACCGGATTCATTTGGTGAATGAAATCATCTCCGGCATCCGGGTGCTCAAGATGAACGCCTGGGAACAGCCCTTCGAAAAGATGGTGGCCAAGGCGCGTCAGAAGGAGATGAACTCCATTCGCCATGAACAGTACATAAGTGGCTTTCGCTTTGCCTGCCGAATCATCGTCTCACGGGTGGCCATCTTCCTCAGTTTGGTGGGTTACGTGATCTTGGGACAGTTTCTCACGCCCGAAGTGGCCTTTCTGATTACCGCCTACTACAACGTACTGATAGCCGCCATGTCCATATATTTTCCTGTTGCTGTCATCCAGACGGCTCAAATCTTGGCTTCACTTAAGCGTGTTAAGAAGTTCTTGCAATCCGAGGAGGTGAAAAACAATCCAAAAGAGACAGTAGATGAGGAAAATCCCATTACCAACGTTCAACCAAACCCTGCGATCTCCATTACCAGACTCAAGGCCAAATGGGATCCCAAATCTCCTGAATACACACTTTGTGGGGTAAATCTGCAAATTCAACCTGGGAGCATTGTGGCCATAATGGGACCCACTGGATCGGGCAAATCCAGTCTTATCCAAGCCATTCTCGGCGAACTTAAGGCAGAGTGTGGTAAGATAAAGGTGAATGGCTCAGTGTCTTATGCCTCCCAGGAGCCCTGGCTTTTCTCCGGCACCGTTCGCCAGAACATTCTATTTGGCCAGCCCATGGATCACCAGCGGTACGCAGAGGTGGTGAGGAACTGTGCCCTGGAGCGGGACTTCGAGCTGCTTCCGCTCAAGGATAAGACGGTAGTTGGGGAACGCGGCTCTTCGTTGTCGGGTGGCCAGAGGGCCAGGGTCAGTTTGGCGAGGGCTGTGTACCGGAAGGCCTCCATCTATCTACTGGGTGATCCACTGAGCGCGGTGGACACCAATGTGGCCAGTCATCTCTTCGAGCAGTGTGTGTGTGGCTATCTAGGGGGAAGCACCGTCATTCTGGTTACCCATCAGCAGCAGGTCTTGCAGCTGGTCGATCAGATTGTGATCTTGGAGAGGGGACAACTCAGTGCTGTGGGCACCTACCAGTCGCTTCTTAAAACGGGCTTCGACTTTGGCACCATTCTTGGCAAAGCAGAGAAGGAAAATGAGGATCTGGAGGATAAACGATCACGCTTGGATAGCTGTAGCACAACCCTAAAAGAAATAAATAGGAACAGCGACAAGTCTGTAAAATCCATTGATGATTCTTGCCCGGAGAAGATCAATAAGGAGCACCAGAATTCAGGTCACATCGGTCTGGAAGTATACAAGAAGTACTTCCAAGCAGGCGGTGGACTTTCCGCTTTCTTCGTCATGATCACTTGCTCCATCCTGACACAAGTCTTGGTTTCATGGGGCGACTACTTCCTAAGTTACTGGTAAGACTAATAATCCACTGATTAAACAAAACCGTAGTACATCCAATAATTTCATTTTTAATATATCGTGACATTTAACTATCATGAAATTTAATTATTTAACCATTAACCATTTCATTTATTTTATTAGTGAACACTTATCGATTATTTAAATTATGGTAACTATATATTTCAGGGTCAACAAGAAGAGCAAGGCTACTGTCGAAAACAAAATAGGTAACCAGAAGGATATTGGGTCTGAACAAATGGATATCTATATTTTCACGATGACCATAATGTTTTCCGTTTTAATGACTTCGACGTCTTCGATTTTGATATTTAATATGGCCAAGAAGGCGTCTATTCGATTGCACAACACCATATTCATTGCGATCACCCGAGCCTCTATGAATTTTTTCAGAATGAACGAACATGGAAGGATTCTGAATCGGTTTTCAAAGGATATGAGCCAAGTGGACGAATCAGTGCCTGACTTGATGGTCGATGTGCTACAGACATCCCTTTGGCTGGCTGGAATTATAATCGTTATAGCCATCGTCAATCCCGTGTTGTTGGTTCCAACTTTAATATTGGGGATCATTTTCTATCAGCTGCGCAATTTCTATCTGAAAACTTCGATGGATTTAAAGCGCATTGAAGCTATAAGTGAGCAATTATTTAGTTTTTAAGTGTTCGCGATCATACGAAAATATTGTTATAGGTCGGTCCCCAGTTTATTCGCATTTGGCTGCCTCGCTGACCGGTTTGCCCACCATCCGCGCCTTCGGAGCGCATCGTTTCCTGGAGGAGCAGTTCGACAACTTCCAAGATCTGCATAGTTCTGCACGATATATGTCGATTAGTACCTCGAAGGCCTTTGGTTATTGGATGGAATGCTTATGTGTGACCTACATTGCGATCGTAACACTCAGCTTTTTTGTCTTCCCTCCAGAAAACGGAGCTCAAGTGGGTTTGGCCATAACACAGGTAAACCATTATAAAGTAGTCTTCACCCTAGGGTGCTAATCATTTATTTTACTCAAAGGCCATGGGACTGATGGGTCTGGTGCAATGGGGAGTGCGTCAATCCGCCGAGCTGGAAAACACAATGACAGCGGTGGAACGAGTGGTGGAGTATGAGAGCATTGAGCCAGAAGGAGCTTTAGAAGCCCCGGCTGATAGGAAGCCACCCAAATCCTGGCCAGAGCGAGGGGAAATAGTGTTCGATAAGCTGAGTCTACGCTACACGCCAGATCCAAAGACGGAGAATGTGCTCAAGTCACTGAGTTTCGTCATCAGACCCAGGGAAAAAGTGGGCATCGTGGGACGCACTGGAGCGGGCAAATCCTCGCTGATCAACGCCCTCTTCCGACTGTCCTACAGCGATGGATCCGTGCTCATAGACTCGAGGGACACAAGTGAGATGGGTCTGCACGACCTGCGCAGCCAGATCTCCATTATTCCCCAGGAACCCGTTCTCTTCTCCGGCACAATGCGGTACAACTTGGATCCCTTCGACGAGCACAGCGATGAGAAGCTGTGGAGCTGCCTGGAGGAGGTGAACCTCAAGGATCTGGTGGCAGATCTCCCCAGTGGCCTGCAGAGCAAAATCAACGAGGGCGGAACCAACTTCAGTGTGGGGCAGCGCCAGCTGGTCTGCTTGGCACGGGCCATTCTGCGGGACAACCGAATCCTCGTCATGGACGAGGCCACGGCCAACGTGGATCCCCAGACGGATGGCCTCATCCAGAACACCATTCGGAGGAAGTTCAGGGAGTGCACGGTGCTGACGATAGCCCATCGCTTGCACACCATCATGGACTCCGACAAAGTGATGGTCATGGATGCCGGCAGAGTGGTGGAGTTCGGGACGCCCCATGAGCTGCTGACAGTGGCGGACTCTAAGGTGTTCCATGACATGGTCAAGCAGACGGGTCAGGCCACCTATGAAAGTCTGCTGAAAATCGCACAACAGGTTGGTTCTCAATTGATTTGATTATCTATTATCTTCCACTGTTCTTTTTAAATTATTTTCAGGCATTTGAGAACACCCAGAATCCAAGCCCTTCCCCACGAGACTCGGCTATTAGTCTAAGCATGTAATTAAAATTTAAATTTTTCATATCGGTTAAGGCTTAGTACTCAACCCAACAAAAAGTCGTCCAAAACAAAAAACTTCATATGAAAAACAACGTCAAAAAATTTTGATTCATATGAAGTTTTTGTTTTGGACGACTTTTTGTTGGGTTGAGTACTAGCCCTTACAGGTAAATCCAGTTGTCAAAATTTATATCGAATTTATATTTTTTTCGAGGTTAAGATTTTTATTAAAAATTTACAGTTGATCTTGAATGCGTGAAAATAAAATTATATTTTCTGTTTTCAAATAAATTTTAAAATTTAAAATTTTTTAAGACATAATTGGTCCAATTATAAGTTAGTAATTTCTGTCTCAAGAGATACATCCAAGCTTATCATGACACTTTATCAAAATAAAACTTGAACTTGCTTTAAAGCTGTGGCTCCTCATTAAGCACAACCGGCTCTCCGTCGAGTTTACGAATGGTGGGCAACCTCTTGATGCATTCCGCCCGCCAAGAAGGTTCATCTAATCCTTCGGAGAGGGGATTTCCCACCACCACCAGATCTTCAAGGGACTCGATCTCCGCCAGGCGATTGAACTCCGACCAGTCCTTAATCAAATTGTTGCTTATGTAGAGAACCTTTAGGCATTTAAGCCCAGTCAAACCTTTTATTTTCTCTATCAGATTATAGCTGAGCCACAGCTCTTCCAGAGTTTCAGCTACAGCCTCCTGAGAATGATAAACATATATAATTCTGAACAAATTATCCTTGTGCCCTTTACCAGTCCTGAAATCTGCTTGATGTAGTTCCGTGATAAGGACAATACCTTGAGGCACTTCATGCCCGATAAACCGAATATTTTTTCAATCATATTCGTTGACATACTGATTCTCCTAAAAAGGGAAAGTAAATCATTTACTCTTCCTGAAAAAAGTGCAATTTTTCTCACTCACTCGCACTGCACCAGCGTGCCCAATGTGCTATCCATTTTCTCGATGGGCGGCCACTGAAATTGTAGGTCAATATTCTTGGCCGTCAGGGAATTTTGCTGCTCCCGATCCTCCCAGCGCTTCAGTGCCTCCTTAATTGTGGTTGCTTTGGACATGCTGCTGCATCGGAAAACTTTTAACCAATGGGCAAGAAAATTGGTGAGAACTAAACAAACTTTTTCGTTGCCTAGGTGAAGCGAGGAAGGAACAAATATCAATAGGGGCAAACTTTGTTTGGAACTTTGTGCGGAACATCCTTTCGAGGTAATCACCCTTTTTATGAACTTTCATTATGACGAGGGCAGTGGATACAGTCAGATGTGCTTTTGCTACGATTTTTCGCGTTCGTTATTTTTATACAAATCTAAGGACTATATTGCAGGGTTCGTAAACATCAATCACTTTACATATCCCTCAAAAACAAGCCGACTGTGATGAAAATAAACAAATATGAATCACGATACAAACAAATTGTCATCTTTGCTCATTCAACCTACGTTATGTAGGGGAAAGTCGGGGAATTTCATCAGCATTTTTTCAAAGCTATTTTTTGTCCATCCTGAGACACGTTATCATATTTATATTTTTATTGTTGAATGCGGTTAGCACCAAGCTTTAAATGTGACATTCCCCTATTTTTTTAATTAGCTTGGTGATTTATAAAAAAATAAAATGTAAAACCAATATACTGGGGCAATCTCACCACACAGGGGGTAAAATCACCACACAACTGGGGAAATTTCGTCACCTGAAAAATGTAGGGAGTTTAACGCCTGAAAAATGCTACACTGATCAAGCGTACCATTTTTTGTTGACGTCCTATATTTGTTGCTGCTGCTGGTAGTCTGTTCGTTAGCCACCTCGTCAAATATAAAAATATGTATTTAAAATAGGTGCGAATTTACCCTTAGCGTAGGGTGGCGAAATTTCCCCAGACCGTGCTTTTTAGAAATAATTATTTTTCTTGCGAAATTAGGCGCGAAGTTAAAAATCACTGACGCAGAAATGCACATTATAGCACTGTGTATTATATAAAAAATCGTGTATCTTATTCCTTTTGAATTGTGGCATACAGAAAAAATTTCGTCGAGAACTAAATGTAGCTTTTGAACTGTTAAAACACATTTAATATTATAGCTTAATTATCTTGGCCTTCTGTGCAAAACAAATGCATTGGTTGTGTCTGGCCGTCTTGAAGGACTAAAACAAAAAAATTATATATTTTTACGACTTATGGATTCCGAGATATTGCAGGTGACGAAATTGCCCCTGTGACGAAATTCCCCCACTCTCCCCTACATTACAACCTACGTTTACAAACAAATGAATTGCACATTAAAGTATAGATAATAGAAAAATGTACTAAAAAAAATATTTGACAACATTTAGGAGTAGATAATGAAATAAAAAAAATTGGTTTTATTAGTATAAGAAATCCAATAAAATGTCCTCATGAAAACGCTTTAAATCGAAATTAAATACAAAGAACAATAGATACAATGAATAGTTAAAATTAGTTCCATTCAAGATTTAATTCTCAGAATTGTTTTTCCATTAGAAAAATCTCTACAATTTTAGGATTTTCAACTTTGGCGTCGAATTTCAAAGACATGGGCAATGGTTCACGATGGGGACTATTTTTTAGCAGTGCCGTGATGTATTGAGAGTAGGTCCTACCGAAAATAATAAAGGTTAGTCCAATTAGATAAGCAACGTAATTCAAAATGTCGGCAAACATCGGTTTTTTGTATTCTTAGCTATACCGCGGAACCTGTAGGTAATGAAAAATAATTTTGTATGGGACTTTTACTCAGGAGCACCCACATATCATGGAAAACTTGAAATGGTTCGTGGAAATTTCACAAAGTTTAATTTTGTGTTCCTGTGTTATAGCTCCGTTGGTTTTTATTGTATTCTCTTATATTCTAGGATATGATTTTTTTTAATATTTCAGAGTTTTGAATTAAATTTAACAAAAATCGGAAAATTTTTGCAATATGTAAGTTAATAGGAACGATCTGCAAGGGTATATAAGCTTCGGCCAGCCGAAGCTAGCTTTCTTTCTTGTTTTTTCCTTAAAAAATGTCAAAAATGAGGAAAATGTTTTGAGGAGAAAGCAGTATAAAGCAGTTGTGATTTTGGTCAGAAAAATATTAATCAGCTCGACTTGGTTACTCCTCACTGTGCTTACTGTGACAAATATCACCGCCCTATGTTGAAATTATTTTATTTGAGCAAAATGACAGATTGTGTCACAATCATTGTGAGTGATATTTTACGAACCCTGCTAAATTGTATAATTAACTAACTTCAGTTTAATTTCTATTAAAAGCGTTTGGTGTAGATAAAATTCCTTAAAACTTTGTATAAGTTATTGATCCCAAAAAAGTAGCCACCGAAATGTTTTGTAAAAATACAATCTTGTATTTAGAAATGTTATAGGGGCATAAAGATACATCGCTTAGTCTAAACAGAGGAGCGGGGCGGACCCACCAGGTAGAATCACTTAACCAGCCGAGGCTGCGGCGCTTAACGACGATCCGTCTTGCCGTTTCCACGCTTGCCGGAGAACAAATGCTTGGGCATTTTGGTGCCGATGAAGCGATCCGCCTCGCCCTTGAGACCCCTGCTCGTGACCTTCTTGGCAATGTCCCGCTTGGCCATAATCTGGGCCTTCTTGCGGATGGCCAGATTCTTGATGCCCAGCGAGTCGCGCGACGGCGCCCGCTTGATGGGCAGACCGGTCTTCCGGACCACCGCCGAGGACTCCTTGTCGAGCAGCGGCTGCATGGGCACCTTCTTGGATCCCACGGCCACCTGGCCACGGCGCAGATCCACCACGGACTTGGTGAAGTTGGCGTTCTCGCTGCCGGACATGTCCACGCCCAGACCCTCCATCGTGGACACCAGCTTCTGCACGGAACGGTCGCGCACCTTGGGCTGCTTGTTTCGCGGGATCTGCGGCTTGTTCTTTCGCGACGACAGTCGCTTCTCGTCGCGCAGCTCGAAGCGCTTGCCCCGGATCTGCTTGGCCATCTCGCGGATCTCCTTGAGCGTCTCGTCCATGGACATATCGGGCACTGTGTAGATGCCGCTCTCCTCCCGCAGTCCCTCCTCGCGTTCCAGCTCCTCCAGCTTGTCGAAGATGTCGGCGTCGATGTAGTCGGCAATGTTGTGGCCCTGCCAGAACTCGGGAATCACATCGTAGCGCTCCTCCTCGGGTATCTCGCTGTAGTTCTTCTTCAGGTCCAGCGTGTAGTCGTCGCCCATCTCCTCCTCGATCTCCTTCTCCAGCTTGCGTTTGCGCTCCGCCTTCTCGGCGTTCTGTTGCAGGCGGGCCGAGGCCTTTTCGGGGATGCAGGGCGCACGAAGTTTCTCATCGCGCGGCGCTGGCATGGCCACATGCAGACGGTTCAGGATGTTGTCCACCTTCTTGGTGCGCATCTTCTGATCGACGCGGTAGGAGAGCAGACGCTCGCAGGCCTCGGTTTTCACCTCCATGACGCCGGTTTCCTGTACGGTGGACATGAGCATCACGGGTATGTTCTTGTCCTCCTGCAGTTTGGTTATGATCTCCCGTCGCTCGTCTGGCAAATCCTCTGGTGTCAGGATGTCGATCTTGTTGATGGCCAGAATCAGGGGCTTGTTGGTGAACAGAGGCTTGATGCTCTCGAACAGCTTGACCTGTTCCTCCAGCGAGTGACCGCACTGCTCGGAGATGTCCATGAAGTACAGGACACAGGCGCGCAGATGGGCCAAAGCAGTGATGGCCTGCATTTCGATCACATTGCGCTCCTCCAGCGGATGATCCAGAATGCCAGGTGTGTCGATCACCTGCCAGCGCAGGTATTTGTAGTCTGTGTGGCCGACATACAGGGATTTGGTGGTGAAGGCATAGGGCTGCACCTCCACATCGGCCCGGGTGATCTTGTTGATGAACGAGGACTTGCCCACATTGGGGAAGCCGCAGATGATGATGGTGCGCGAGTAGGGATCGATGGTGGGCAGACGCGAGAGATGCTGACGCACCTGCTCCAGATACGTGAGGTTGGAGGCCTGTCGCTTCATGATGGTGGCCATGCGACCCAGGGCGGCTTTCTTCAGCTGCTTGCAGCGGTACAGGGAATCTCCGTATTTCAGCAGGCGCACGTAGTCCTTGGCCACGCTGGGAAAGGGAAATAGTAGGGATATTATTAAGGAAACACAGTTTTCATGGCCAAATTCCGGCACTCACTTATCCACCAGATGCCTGGCTGTGTTCAGCTGACCCAGGGCCAGTTTGTAATGATCCTTGTCGTACAGGACGTTCATCAAATCGGCGTAGAAAGGATGCACATCGTCCAGCTTGGGGAAATCCTGAATGATCTGCGACAAGCGATCGTGGAAGTTCTGCTGCGTGTACTTCACCTTGCGGGTGTAGAACGCCCGAATTCTGGAAATCTTGTAGCCCTTGTGGACCACTGTCGGGGTCTTACGCTGGGTCTTCGACAGCATAATGTCGATAAAGTCCTGCAGGGATAAACCCAGAGTATTATTTACATATTGCGCATCAGGTAAACACCTGCAGTGAGGTTATGTAGGGGCTGCAAGGGGTGCTCCGCTGGACGGGGAGTTTCTGGGGTAACTTACCTTGGCTGGCGGCACCACCATGATCTTCTTGAAATTGTACAGACTCATCTTGGCAGGATTTGTTTATTTTCCACGCGTCGAAAGGAAAATAAATGGGGAATCGACAGCAAAAACACCACGCGGTGTCAGCTTCGTATTCCAAAAAGAACCGATTCTTCGGCGGAACCAGTTCAGGTTCACATGTGCTTCGCTACGTTGCCACCTGGGCGGAAAGTGGTTCCTAAATCCGTCGAAGTGGCAACATTTTCTAGAAAATAACATGTTTCCACTGATATGCTTTTGTTAATAAATTTTTAATAAAAAATAACGGAGCTAATTTATTTCATCTTAATAGTAGCTATGAATATAATAAAATTTAACGAAGTTAAACTATATATTTTTAATGAAATTAGACGTTATTAATTCGTCTTTCCTTGTTTAATTCATAAAATAAACTGTAAATTAGAAAACAATTGAGCAAATGGAAAATTTTGTGTATTAGTGTTGTTAAAACAGTCATAGAAGCAACAAGTGTTTAATCTTTTTTTCGATAACGCCTAGAACTATATGCTTATAAAAAAAGGAAAATAAAATTTGGAATTATCAATTACTAAAGGTAAACTTCCCTTATAAAAGCACAATGTAAATAATTTGATTTTAATAGAATAAATAAAAAATAAGAGACTCCCCTGCCAAGACGCAAGCCAGTGAGAACATCTTGAAAGACACGTCGGAACCAAAACAAAACAATTTGGGGACACAAACAAAATGGATTCGGAAGCTGCAGCATCTGTGCTTCTCACCAGGGAACAAATTATCAATGTTTTAAGCGAAACGCCAGCGGGATTTATAAAGCCCACGGATCCACCGTCACCAGGCCTGCCGCCTTTCAAGAAACTGGGAGTTCTCGTGGAAATTGATGATATCGTGGGCGATAAGTCGTTGAAAATCAACGACAACAGGGATAAGGAGCAGTCCTATAGCTGCGCGGAATGTCGCAGGATGTTGCCCACGGCTCATTTGTTGGATTTGCACATCACCGAACAGCACGATTTCTATTTTGCCGCCAGCGTAGATCGAGGGGATAAGCCCATGTTTTCTTGCTTCCTGGAGGAATGCACCATCAAGTTTCAAACTCCTCGGCAGCGCAAGGATCACTGTATTATTGTCCACAAGTTTCCGGCAAACTACCGATTCGATCAGGGCAAGGATAAGGCCAAGGAAAAGCGCAAGCCCAATGCCATGGATGTGGATGAGGTGGTGGTGCCCGCGGAAACCAAAAGTTTGCCCTATATCAAGGCCTTCAGTTTTGGTCACCAAACGCATAGGACCTTCTATATGCGCAAGGAGCACAAAACTGGCGAAACGCTCGATAATGTCCAATCCATGAAGGATGCCATCAACGATATCCTGGATTAGATTTATACAACTATTTATTTTGCGAATGAAGCAGCATTATCATTATCCTGGTACAACTACAAGTTAGTCCGTTAGCGGAAACATCGAAGATCATTTTGCCTTGGCGCTGGGCCTGTAAATAAAATTGAGTTTTATTGTTGATTCCCTGCGGTTGCATTTTTTCTTAGCTGTGGATTACTTACTTTCCGGTATTGGCATTGATGTAATGATAGGCAACTACCAGCAGGAATAGAAATACGCCCAGGACGTTGGAGAAAATGGCCAATTGCACGTCGGTGATCATTTTGCAGAATGTCAAATGGTCTATTCTGCGGATAAAAAACAAATTACTTGATTAGAACCCCAGTGGGCGAGTGACACGTCATGGGTGTGGAAACAGTTATTTCTGTTATTTTCACTTTTTTAAATGTTACAGCGGAAAGTGGAAGTTCTTCGTTGTTCTTCAGCCACTCAAATTGTCCCTTTTGCCTACTTTAATTCAATTATTTTACCTTTTTCAGCGAAAAAACGAGCCGGTTTTTATTGTGTACAAATATTTCAGGGTGACCGTAATTCGATTAGCAAAATATACCAAAGGTACTGTAGCCTTTAATCAACAATATACTAAATATACCTCAAAAATAATAAGGGTATTCCCATTAACGGCAGTTGAATTTAGAAAATGTTCGCTGCAAAAAATGTATTTATTTTTTTTTATTTTCCATTTAAGTTTCCATAAGTTAATCACTATGTGATTTTTAAGATTCGAAAGTAACCACCAAACACAGATAAAATAACTTTGTAATTTCTTTTATTTTTAATAAACAACTATGTTTATTGGCTCTAAGCTCTCAAGTTTATTACTTACATATTTCAATACTTGACATTAAAACATAAATTCAGCATTTTTAATTAAAAAGTATTTTAAAAATAATTAAAACAGTGTCCAATGTGTATGAACTTTATTTATATTTTTTTGCATTGAAAACGTTTCAGGTTCGACTTAAATTATATTTAAACATATTTAATGGTCATCTTAAACATTATTTAAATATCTCTTCGTATCCAAGGCTTATAACTTAGTTTACATAATACTTATTGCTTCCATATATTTTTTGTGCAGCTCTGTTTTGAAGGTCACTTGATTTGTGGAAATTGTTGCGTCAGTTTAAAATAGTTTAGTAGTGTACAATAATTGCCATCATACAGATATCTCTCAATTGCTCTAGCTTAAAAATAAAAGAAGACACTTAAGTGCACTTGCAGCTAACACACACACTCACACTCATGCACACACACAGAGCTCTTAAAATGCCAGTACAGGAATAAATTAAATAGGACCTGAAGCTTGGCTTCACTGTCCCGATAAAGTCATCCGAAAGAATTCCAAGCTGAAGGTACCAGCTTCGGCTACAACTCGTGGAACTTGTAATTACTATGGTGCACTTCTCCTGCGGGTTAGTTCGAAGTAATCGTAATTCCCTGGGGCGGTGGTGCATTCATGTCTTGCACTGTACGCGCCAAGTAAGGCTTCGTGTTGGGCTTCTGAAATAAGTCCGATACATAATTGGCCTGAAAGTAGAAAAATAAGTAATATTAATACAAAAATCATATATCATACAATAAGCAAAATATAAATGTTATGAATTTTAAGAAAGTGGATTTATCAACATTCCTTATCGCAATTTTATAACTCAAACATTTGGAATTTGTGCAAATATATGTACTTCTAACTTTGCAAGGGGAATTTAGAAAGTAGTAAAAAATATTTATAAGCATATGTATTTCTTTATCTTTATCACAACTCAATAAAAAAATTCCGTTGGGTTCCTTGGGAATAAGTGTTTGAGTTTAGAGCGATAAGGTTGTGATTTCAAAATATTTAAAGATGATTGCCAAAGGAATTTCAAATTTAATTACCCTGGTCGTAAGTTTGCTATATATTATAAGTATTCAAAAGCGAAAATAAAGATAATTATAATGGATCTACCAAAATAAAGAAGTAACTAAGATCTCTAGCATTTTAAGATAATAGTGATCCACATGCCGCACTTGCAACATTAAAAATATGATCCTAAAAGTATGCGTTGGTCTTTCCTTACCCCCTTCGTATCTCTTTAATTGAATCTCCTTGGAATATGATGGGCCTTCCTCCCCCTTAGAAATACCCCCTATCCCCGGTGAAGCGTGAAATTACAACTGGACAGCTGCATGGCCAGCTGGGTGGAAAAAGTCAACCCGACCTGGAAACAAGGTTTCGTGCTGCGGATGGCATTGATTGGCACCACACGCAACCGCATATAGGTGTTGAGTTCTGCCAATTTGGAGAACGTATCCCGCAGTTCAATTAAGGCTAATGGCCACCACCAGGTTAATAATGAATAGTCGGGGTATGCGGAATTTGTGATGCTTTAATTGCTAATCTTTTTTACAATGTCATAAGCTGATTCTGTTTCTGATTCTGTCTCTGCGCTCCTCTCTCACTTAGCCTTGCCTTTGGCGGGCCAAACTGTTTGAAAATTGAACCAACTCTTGGGCAAAACGTAGCTCTAAAAAGATTATGGAAGTGTATGGAAGGCATATGAATGTCGGTCAATATTTTGCTAAAATCATCTTAAAACCAAAACTTGGGTGATGTAAAGGGCATGCATGACCCAAAAATACTATTATTGGTTGTTAAAACTCCTTATCTCTAAGTTATAGCCTTGGTTTTTTAAAAGTATACACAAAAAAAGCATGTTCCCGTAAAATCGATATGGCCATGTAAAACCCATATCGTTTTTACATGAAATACTCTTTTCGACCAGGTCAAATTTACCTGGCACATATTAAATTGAAATTTATCTTAAATAATGTAAAATCGATCTACGTTTCATATCGATTAAAAAAATCGTTAATACTTAATTTTACTTAATACTTTTAACATATATTTGCAATATATTCCATAAAATAAAATATTTGGAAAATTTTAATGGTGTAAGACATTTGTTTGGATCCACAAAATGAATTTTTTAAAGACTTAAAATTAAAAATTGGTTGGATTGAAATGAGATATTTAAAGGCGGTATTACTTACCACAATTAAGGCGCATGAAGAACCAATGAGGGATCCTGCCAGCACATCGGACCAGTGGTGTTTGTAGTCCGAGACGCGGCTCAAAGCCGTGTACCAGGCCACCATGATGAATACGAACTGGAGAAGGTGACGCAGCAGCTTGGAGCCCCGCCAGGTCATGCGTGACTGCAGGTACAGCTGCAGATGGGAATACGGGGAGACAATGAGTCCACGGATCGTGTGACTATAACAATGGACTTACCGCCAGATAGACCATGGCGAAGAAGGTGAAGCTGGAGTGTCCGCTGGGGAAGGAGAGGCGCACCTCTTTGAGCATGCGCGCCGATGAGCCGATTCCCCTGCACGTGAACTCCTGGATGTACTTCCCCTTGTTGATGGCATCCTCGCAGGTGGTGTTGTCTTTCATCTGGGGCTGGCACACCTGTGGGCGGCAGGAAGAAAGGTATTGGTGGTATGAGCTAAACGAATACTTGGACTTAAGCTGCTTAGGGCTTATTTGTGGAGCCTTCACTGGGGATCTCCGCCACATGTGCCGCAAATTAGAGAACTTGCTGCTCGAAATGAGGCAGCAGCTGCAGTTGCATTGCATTTTCTGCACTGTTGCCGCACTTCACTAAACAATAGGGCTGCTCTGTAATGCAGCTCCCCTTTTAAAGTGATCCCTATCCCTATGGCAATCCCTATACCGATCCCAATCCCATCTCCCCAAATGAAGCGGACGATAAGAAGCTAACAAGCCACTTGCCGCCGCGAATATTTATGAAATTGTCTGACATCCAGTCAAAATATCATAAATAAACAAACCAACTGGTCTGGGAACTCGGGGTTGATTGGTATCTGAAATACCCTAACGAGCTGAAAATATTCATTTCTAACAAAAAAGTTCAAATCATTTGGTAAAAAAATGATCATTTCAGGATTACATCTGATTAAGACTATCGGCATATTTAATACTGTATATCCTGTACTATTTAAAAAAAAACCAACTGAACTCAGAATTCAGTGTTTAATGGAATCTGAATTAACCCCTACGTAACCCCTTTTGAAAAAGATTTCATTATTTTCTAAAATCTATTTATTACTTTATATCGTAAACTTCTTTATCTAATAACACACAAAAATTTTCCCGTAATGTACATTTTAAGTCATGCAAAACCCATATCGTTTTTACATGAAATACTCTTTTCGACGAGGTCAAATTTATCTGGCCACATACTAAATAAAAATTGATCTTAAATAATGTAAAATCGATTTACGTTTCATATCAATTTTCATTTACAGTTCAATTTTATTTTTAAAGGTCTATAACATGTTATAGATGATCCTATTCCTCTCTGTAGATAGTGTATTTCACTTAACGCATTGCAACCAACTGCCATCACTCCCCTTTTAGCCCAACACTATTAATAACCTTTCCCCACATCGTGTGTGTTTTTGACATTGTCTCCGAGCCGCCTGTACAAGTCCGTCTCCTACTTCGATATTGGATTTGTCTTCGTTGTCGCTGTCACTGTCTCACTGTCGCCTGTCTTGCTGCACATGTTGCAGATTAAAATTAATTGGCAATGTCAGAACGGGGATACCGCTGTGAAATTGCCAACTACGGACACGCAGATTTGTATGTTGCATATACTTACCGCCATAAAATGGGGACGCAGCCGGCCGATGGAATATTTCGCAATATCCGTGGTCAACTGGCTGACGACAGCGCCGAACGAATAGATGCCGACCTTCTTGTAGCACTCGATCAGCCAGTCGGGCAGATCGTAGTTCATGAAGACATACCGCCGACTGGTGGAATTGCCATTATCCTGCTTGGCCTTGTTCTGTGAAATGATCACCTCGACGATGACTATCTGAGGGATGGGAACATAGAACAAAGAAATTCCGTGAGTTAGCAGCTCGTTAAACCCTTTTTCTTCTCTGGAAGTCATTAGGGCGTGCATGCAAATATTTATAGCAGCCGAAATGGGACGAATATATATCGTTTCTAGGCCCATTAGGGCCAGACACATGTTGCTCTAGTTTTAATTGCCGACATGTGGACACTGGAGCATGCATGTGGTATCTTTATCTTGCATCATAGCTCCATAGTGCCGACAACTGAACTTGAGGCGATTGCGCAATCTTCGCTCAAGTATCTGACAGCTGCTTGACACAATTTCTGGCTGTCCATCAGGCACCCACTCCCCATCTGCCCCATTCACTTACCACGCCAACTGGTATCACGGCTCCAATAAAGTACAACATCCAATTCCGGACCGTAGAATCGTGGAACGGATGCTTCAGCGAGTCGTCATCGCAGAAAAAAGCCCCGCTTATACGGTTCGCCCAGCAGGAAGAACAGCAGTATGGGAAAGCCAACTGAAAGCGAGAGAAAATTAGAAAAATAAATTATAGAAACCACTCATTTATCAATATATTTCCCCCCATCTTAGTAGGTCATCGGGGGGCCTAAGTGCCGAGGCATTATCTTCTTAGGGGGAATGACAGAAACCCTATTGACTTATGATATGTCTAAGCCGGCGATAAGATTTCCAGTGACAAGCGAACGTGTGCGGGGTTTCAATTGGGGATCATAGCTAGGCTAGGCTAGGGAAATCTGTCAGCGACTTCTTGGCCTGTCTAATTAAAAATTCGCTGCCATTAATAATAACCTATAGGAATTGTGAAGCGTACATGCTGATTGATTGCCTGTCCCAACATTCCCCGGCTTCTTTATTTGCCTTGCCGAACAGAACATTTATCTAGTGGATAATTAAAACTGCATTAGCTCTCTGGCTCCAACGCTCCAGTTTGCCTAATTGCCCTTCTGCAATGAGCCATACTACCTGCAGGCGGAAAAGATCTCGGGATCTCTGGATGTCTGGATGTCGATGAACTGGCCGAAGTCAGCGAGGCGTTAAAAATTGGGAAAGTTCTGGGATCTGAAGTGCTCATTAGGCTAGGAATATGTGAAGTGCATAGCCAGTACTCGATGGCGACTTGTCTGTCGTTTAATTACATTTCTCTAGTTTTTTTTTGCCATGGCGAATAGGGTGATCTTTGTGGTCCCACAAAGGTGGGTGACACAATGCCGCATCTTGCGATCCCGAGACCTTTCTTCCTATGCAGCTGCATCGGGTCCCGAAATCTAGATCAGTGGCATTGTCTGGCGATGTTTAACGATGGGAAAGTTATAGAGACGAAATTCTTGCAGAGATTAGCGTCATATTACAAACAGCAAGTGGCCCATTGTTGGCCCTAGGAGTCCTCTCTTTTTGTAGATCCCTTGATAGATCCCTAATCCTCAGCCAACCAGCCGGTAGCACTAAAATGTTTTTATGACTTTGAGGCATAGAAAACGAAAGTGTCTATGGCCTGATCTACATAAGCTAGAGATTACCTACATAGTTCGAACTTCACGTTGATAAAGCGAAATGGGAAAATGGAAAAGTGGAAAAAATGAAAAGGGAAAAATTGTGTTAAATGGCAGAACGAAAAACAAAACAATTTCGTTGATGTTTTTGTGCGTGTTTCTGTACTTTTATGAGGGTGACATAAGCCGTTTAAAAATTATTATATATGGGAGCTGCTGTACCTTCAGCGGAAATGTTTAATTTAATTTTTTCAAACCGGGGGACTGCATTCAACCGAATTGTAACGCACCTATGCCGCACTTTCATAGTAAACTGAAAAAACGAAACGCTGTCCATTTGGTGTCAAGTTCATTTTAATAATAAAGACGCCGCCTGCTCCAGAACTGTAGTCTAATTGAACCAACAACGAAGAGGGCAACACAAACAGATTGTTTGTTAAAAAAAGAGGTAAACGCGCCCACTTCAGGCCCCTCAACAATCGGATTTCTTTGAAAGATCACTACCGCCGCTTTCTTTAACCATTTCGCCGCCTCAAAAGCCACCGGCCTACGCCAAAGATGCATCTTTGTATCTTTCTATCTTTCGGATGCTGCAAGTGCCGCTCGGCTGGCTTTCAAGTTACCAAATGTTTGCTCTTAGCACGTTATCTTCTGTTATCCAAGTATCTATTTGCCGAGTTACAAGAAAAGAAGAGCCTCTCCACTCAAATCTGACCCCAAATAATGGGGCAGCCTCTAATTAAAAGCGTCTGACTTGCACTTGCCGCATTAATTAGACATGACGGAAGTCAAATTAAAGACAATTAGTGCAGAGAGCTGAACTAAAAAGACAACTTCGCCAGTCAGACTTCAGACACATTAAGGACTGAAGACTGGGCAAACTTTAACCTCTTCAATTGATTCGATCGACCAAGGACAAAAGACAAGAATAAGAAGATCCATTAAAAAATGAAAATTATTGATGTGGGTTTTGGCAATTTCATGGCTGCCAAGAAATCGAAAATTGTTACCAGGAATCTTCCCAGCTCGCCCGCATCTAGATTTCTCCAAGAAACAAAAGGTGTCACACAGGTAAGGATTTCAATTCCCAATCCGATTCGAACCTTTCCACCTCTGACAGGTCATGAGTCATGAGCTGCTGGCAATTAAATGTTCATTACTTTTGTCCCAGGAATTGTAGCGCAAAAAACACATTGAAAATCAACATCCATCTTGGCAGGGCCATGTATCTTCGACTCCATCTATTGTGGCCACATATGTATCTAAGTATTTCTATATCTGTATCTTTCTTTTGGGCTATGTTTGTTGTTGGGTGGAAGGTAAACAACAACAATGAGCCAACAATTGCCTTATGCCCGAAATGCATTGCATAAATATTATTCTTTCTACTTAGTTTTGGTCAAACTGAATGGGAGAATTTCTTCCCCCTCAAAAGCAAACACGCACACGCAATCACGCTCGATAAATTATTGAAGTGCAGAGGAGGAGTGGTGGGGCTAAAAAAAATCTGGAAGACGACCTCCGATATGCATTTGGGTAGATATTTTATGGGTTTAATGACTCCCCCTTAAGGAAAGGAGAAAGGTGAAAGAAGAAGAAGCGGCAAACGTAGAAAAAGTCTGTGCCGCAGCTCGTTCGCATTCAATTAACGTCAAACGGAGTTTGAGTCTGAAGTTGTGGTTTCCTCGGCGGCCGAAGAATTTGTTTGGTTAAGTGCCACCGACACCCTCGACACCCCCTTGGCCACAAAAATCACTTTATCAGCGTTTGTCTAGCGTCAAAAGTAATTTACACCCAAAAATTAGTTGTCGACAGACGAGCACACACGGCGGAAAGTCCATCAGAAGATGCATCCGATAGATGCAGCTAATCTCGACCCACTAAAAACAAGAATCTTAAATGGCCCACAGAATGCCTTCCCAGATTCTTTTGTCTGATACACACTCCTAAGACATTTTGTAACAGATTTAACTAATTGGAATTTATTCGGGAAACAGATCGATATTTTGTCCAAGTTTTTTTTAATATATTCACAGAACTCTTCGGGGTGCTTTCCTCAGCACATTTGTTGACAAATCGATGGAAACTTTTTTGATTATGGGAACTTGCAATGTGCGCACGGCACGAGTTTTAGATTAGGATACTCCCATCAAAAGTTTATTACCTGTCCCTTATCTTTTAATATGAGGATTAATCTATTTTTATTTACTGAACTGATTTTCAGGTTTTTTACCATAGTCAAGGGAGGGGCTTTTGGGGATGATTCATTTGAGATTTGGGATTACTGTCTGGATCTTAAAGGCGCCTTAGGTGAGTCAGCCGTAATGCGAAAGTTCGCTACCTGGCCCAAATCATGTGTCATGCTTTTATGCTGGGGGAAAAGTAAATATCCCGTTGGTTTCAGACCAAAAGGAAATGGCACCAATCATCTACACCAACAATGCAGTCGTAAATACGGTGCGAGGTCTTCAGTTGATTGGGAACACAGAACTACCTATGGTAGCAACTCATATCAGTTGCTCAAATATGGCGACACAAGATTGTTTTTCCAGTAGTGCCAATTGCAAAAATCCACAAAATGCCACTGCTACAATAAGGTGGTAGTGCTTTATGAGTCAGCCAGGTAAGCTAATCAGCAAAGCTAAATAATGAACATTCTCAGGTAAACCGGTTCCGATTCAATGCAAGCTATTGACGGTGGAATTTCATGGAGAAAATCCAGATAAAGGTTCTCATATAAAGAATGTCTCTATGGGAAATGAGGATACATACGCTGTATAGAGAACAATGCTTATACGAAACTGATAATATCAATATTTTCTATGATATATTACTTCCCAGTCTTAAATAAAAACGCTAATTTCAGTGGAGCTATTTTCCTTAAACTGATTTCTCAACTTTATACAGTTGCAAAATGCTGACAAAGTTCCAATAAAAAAAGACAAAACTGCTGATTGTGTGACTTGTGTAACTCCCCCAATCGAATGCAACAGTCAGCCACTGCAGGTTGTCCACCTTTACCTGACACAATTTAACTGTCGCTGCCTTTGTTTGCACAGCAAATAAAAATAAAGGTAGGGTAAGCAGGAAACTAAAAAAGACCGCACACAGTGAAATACTTTCCCTTATCTGTTCGAAATGTTTTTATAACTCATTTTTAAAAATAGCAAGAAATTATTATTATTTTTATTACAAATTACCATTGGTAGGATAAGAAAATGAGTAATTTTAATAATACAATGATTTTAAATTCTGTGGTTTATTTAAGGAATGTTTTTAAAAATAAGTAATATTTCTTAATAATGTTTAAATTTTGATATTTATGGTGACAAATAAGAAATATAATTTATTACAAAACCGGAAAAACCTTAGTCTAATGAAGGCTTGAGTCAGCCAGCGATTAGGAGTTTTTTTTTATCTCTAAGTTATGCTAATTTCAAAACAAAAACTAATTCTTCTAAGAGAGTCTAGATCTAAAGAGCGCCAAAGAGAACGAGACAGCAAAAAGCTTTGGCAATTACATAAAACCAGGGGTTTGAGTGAGTGAGACGGAAACACACAAAAGAAATAATAAACATTGCGACAGAAAATAAACACCGCGTGTAGGGTAAATAACTGGATGGGATCCAAATTTCGCATTGAGTTTTGGAGGTGAACAGGTGTAGATTTTGAGCGGGGGAACTGGTACTTTTACAGTATATTTACTTACCGCAGAGCAATATCAAAATATCCAAGCCCACGCGGCAAAGAATTCGTTTGTTGGTATCCATGTTAACGGTTTGTTGTTGTTGTAGCTGCTGCTGTTGTGTGCTATCTCTCTCTTGCAGACGCACTTCCACCGAATCACCGTAGTTATTGTTGTTGCTGTGGGTGGTGTTAACCGTGGTTTGTCGCCCGTTGGTTTCGGCCACGTTATAAGGTGATTGGGTCTCTGGCCGCCGGAGCGGTGTTGTCTCGCTGGACGAGGTTTCGTTACTCATATTTTTGTTTTCACGTCTCGTGTATTTTAGGTGCCGTTGCAAAAGCTCCAAGCTCAATCTTAAGCTTTTCTCTTTGCTCCCTCTCTTTTGGCAGTGAACTTGAGCTTAAGAGCAGCTGCACTATGTAGTAGGTGCAAATCTGGTTTTACGTATTCACTACGTCATAGTATCTTTTCTTTGGTTCCTTTTCTTCTGCGGAATCAAAGAGATAAATTTATTAAATGAATTTGTTGAATAATGCCGTCGGGGTGAGTAATAGGCTGAGGATTCCCTGGCGATAAAGACAGACAGAGGTTGTGACGTGTTTTCGTTTTACCCGCCCTGCCCCTTTTTTCCTGATTCATTGAGAGGCGTCTGTTAAATGTTAAATGGCTGATTGAAGAATCTCATGATTTATTAGCACTCAAGTGGCAGAGAATAGACAACTCTCAAACGGGTTAAGTGACGTCGTTTCAAATGAACAATAAACTTTCCATCTTTCACCCTTGAATGGCATCTAAATGGACTTCGGCTCTACAGGAAAACTTCAGATGTTTGGACTTTAACAATTATTTTTACAGCTCTGACTTGTTATTTTAATAAAAAAAAAAAATAATCATTAAAAACAAATTTGTAAGCGTCATGTCCTTGACCAGCGATCAATATAAGTTAGTAGACTAGTTAAATCTGTATTATATCTAAATAATTTGTCTAATTTTTTGGCATAAAAAATGTTTTTTTTTTTGTAGAAAGCGAACTTGCTAACTTGAAGCCTAATCTTGCCTTTGACAACCGCTTTGTGAGTTTTGGCATATTAATCTGATTCAAACTTAAAAAAGACCAGTCTAGACATCAAGTTTGCATATTCACTTTCTTTTTTAAGTACATTAAAACTGTATAATTTATTCATAATTCAAAAACTTTACTCCGTTAAAAACATTCGACACACAAAACCTTTAGCTAAAAATTGCGGTCCACGAAATCGTAATATTGTATCTTGTATCAACTATCTTTATACCCTTGCAGAGGGTATTATGATTTCAGTCAGAAGTTTGTAACGCAGTGAAGGAGACGTTTCCGACCCCATAAAGTATATATATTCTTGATCAGCATCACAAGACGAGTCGATCTAGCCATGTCCGTCTGTCCGTCTGTCTGTTTCTACGCAAACTAGTCTCACAGTTTTTGAGCTATCGGGTGGCCGAAGCTAGCTTCCTTTCTTGTTTTATTTAAAATACTTTGAATTTAACAGTTCTAGATCCAAACAGAATAATTTTTTTTAAGTAACGATTTTTATTTTTTCGAAAACTTAATTTCAGATTTTATCCACAAAGGACTTTTTTTACCAAACAAGTTCCACTGTAAATCTATCAACGCATAAATTCTTTTCATTGCCGTTTTTTTACTAGTGCCCGTTGAACTTCTATAATTATACCCGTTACTCGTAGAGTAAAAGGGTATATTAGATTCGTGCAAAAGTATGTAACAGGTAGAAGGAAGCGTTTCCGACCCTATAAACTATATATATTCCTGATCGGGATCACTAGCCGAGTCGATCTAGCCATGTCCGTCTGTCCGTCTGTCTGTCCGTCTGTCTGTCTGTCTGTCTGTCTGTCTGTCTGTCTGTATGAACGCTGAGATCTCGGAAACTATAAAAGCTAGAAGATTGACATTTTGCATGCAGATTCTAGAAGTTCCTACGCAGCGCAAGTTTGTTTCAAAAGGATGCCACGCCCCCTCTAACGCCCACAATCGCTAATATACGATTTTAAAAATTTCAATATTTTGGAAAAGTAAAAATGCAGTTTTATTGTGTTTATCAATACCTATCGAAATGTAGAAGAAATTTTTTAAATCGGACCATTCGTTAAAAAGTTACGGCGGATCAAAGTTTTTCTCCATCTCTTTCGCACTCCCTTTAGCTGAGTAACGGGTATCTGATAGTCGGGGCACCCGACTATAGCGTTCTCTCTTGTTTTGTACAATCAACTTGACCATCAACGGGGCGTTATAAGTATAGTTCTTCCTGCAAGCCGCTTGGGGTCCAACAAGGCCTTAATTTGACAAAACCACAAGTCGAAAAGTGGCAAACGTCAGTCAGTACTTCAGCGATGAAGGAGCAAAGAACTTATGGAACAGAAAATGAGGAGGAAGAGAGGAATTTCAGTTGTCAGTCGCGATTATGGCCAGGCCAAGGCAACCGGGCCAATGCATTCGATCAGGCAACGACTATTTATAGATAGCGAGCGATCCTCAACTCCTCAGTTGCAATTTAATGCCTGCCTGGGTCTCGAGAGCCTAGAGACTCAGATTCTTCTGATCAATGTTCTATACCTCCCTCCAATCCCTCGATTTCCCCCCTTTTAACGAATGACAAAACAGCGGGCAGCGTCTTAATTAAAAAATAAAAAAGAGAACAGAATAATACCGCGATATTATCGAACATGGATTGAAGAGCGTGCTTCCACGCACTTGAGATTGTTTGCTCTGAGATTATTTTTTAATTGTCAGCTCGGCTCCCGGAAATAAAAAGCGTATTAATCAAGCTAAGAATAGCCTGCATGTTGCAGGGGCGTCGAACATGTTGACCCATTAATGTGCGATTAATCTTGCTTTTATATCTGCAAATCTTTGCACTATCTTATCTCTCAAGCATTCGACTGTGAAAGCGATAAAAAAGGGTAGGGTGGCAGATGGCTAGGTATGATATCACTAAAAGCCCCATAAAAAGTGGCAAACGATTTATGACTAACTAATTTCAGTTGGGTAACTTATTTCGATTGGGAAATAATAATTTAAATGTCGACATATACTGCCAACGTGGGATTTAGTTCGGCTGTTTAATAAATTGATTTGCGTAAACATTTCGAATTTCGTATTTCCAAACTAGATCAATCTATTTATCTAGCCCTTGGTAACAAGTCTATAGTGAATTACTCAGATTATCTTCTAGTTTAAACAACTATATTTTGGGTTTGTTTGTTTGGACTCTCCTCAAAATAATTTATGGTACGTGCTGAATGACTTTACAAAAAATATTTCATATCCTAAGTAAATAAGTTTTCAAAATATCTATCTATAATTCTGAAACTGTATTTCCGATTAAATCGCTTAATTTAACACCACAAAACCATTAATTCAAAAAGTTTATCATGTCACAGGACGTGTCATTTTAACCCTGCATTACAAGTAATTATAAGATCATGATATTCCGAAGCAGCTGAAGGCCCCCGCCCCCACAAATCCTACTCCTCATCATTTTAATTTCAGACTCGAACGATTAACTTTTTTGGGGCAACGACCACAAGCTGAGCAACCCTCCCTCCTTCAATCGAATGTCATTTTCGGAATATCTCAACGCGAATTAAGGTCATGCGAGATGGAAAAATAATTTAAAATTCGAAAAATATGCATATCGGTAAATGAAATGTTTCACAATTTACATAAACAACAGGCGCCGGGCAGCATCATTAAAAATCCAACAAGTGCACGCGAAATTTTCGATTTGAATACGGAGTTCTTTTCGGTTGAGGGAAACATTTTTCGTTTTTAAAGAGCGCCAATTTCGTTACACAAGTCGAAGGGGTTCGATTTCAAGGGGACTACCTTGCAGACAACTTGTCGACGAGAAGGAAGGAAAATCGACACCTGAAACGATGCCCGTGGTCTCAAGTTCAACCAACCCATCGGTGTATGTAAAATGCTTGTTTATTTGCTTTGCTAACGATTATTATTGAATGCAATTTTATTCCGGCTGAGATCAGCAGAAGTTTACCAACATTTTACACTCGCTTGACAACGAAATCCAATACGAATTTGTAAAAAATGTTGGGTGTTGAAGCAAGAAAGTTAAGTACAGACTGGTAAGGCTAATGTTTAAAATGTATTTTCAATTATTGCATTGTAAATATAAATACATTCAACTGATATTTTGTTCTAAGAGGTCCTTAAAAAGAAGGTAAATATTTCATAGTAATCTACAACCTGAACTTTAACTAAACTTTTGAGTTCAATCATATGGATGAATACACAAAAAATGTTTAAAAAAGTTGATAACTAATATTCTCAATAAATTTTCTCACGTTTTGCATTAGCAAATGTTCGTTTAACAAAAGCTGTCCAAACGCCCACAATTTGCACTGTAAATATTTACAAATTGCCCCAATAAGTGTGCAAAAATTATACGCCAAAAGCATTCAAAATTCTATGAATAATAGAGCAAGCTTGATTGATGGACTGGATGTGCAAGGAGCTATGCAAAGTATTTTCTGTAAGAACATTTGTGTAAGGCCAAATGTTGCTTTTCCAATAAATTGCCCCATCAAAATTTGCAGCCTTTTGCGTTTCAGCAAATTGATAAGCTATCGGTGAGATGGTTCTGCGAACTCAATGGTTTGATTTTACGGATAAGCACAAACATACGTTTATGGAATTAATTTCTGCAACAACAACAACCTTGACCGTGGAGGAACACAATCCATTTGTAGGAGGGAAAATCGATTTTAAGCCAAACAAAATATACACCCACGCAATTTCTTCCCTTTCCACCTGAAAAATTTATGAATTTTCCCACATACACTCGAACGCTTTCCACAATTTGTTTATGTGACCATTAATTCCTGAGGCTCCACAGACACTTTTGGTTTGCCGGCCAAGCAAATCGATAAAATCGCAAAGATATATCCAACACATTCATTTGGTTTAGTACAAATAAACACGGTCTTTGTTTAATTAATTTACCTTTGCCCAATAACAGAGTTGCGAAAGTTTTTTAGGCAAGCCTCGATTGCTCCGTCATCGTTATAAGTATCTTTGTTTTTGTTACGCAAAAAGATGCGTTTAAGGGTTATATATACGCCCGATTCCCGTACTCGCACTTTGTTTTGGTTTTACGGACGAGCGACACTGACAATTCGAACCGAACGCGTCCGCTGAAAAAAGTGAACTGAGCAGATAAGATTGCCTTTGCTTGTGTGTCAGTCGGCGGAAAAGAGCGGAAAATAATGAGAGTGGAAAGCAGGCTCTCTCGGTTTTATCTATGAACGAATGCGGAATATGGAATCGGTCCAAAAAGGATAACAAGGAGGGGGAGGTGAAATGGGGATATTTGCCATGCTCCCCCATACAAAATCTTTAAATTAAATTAAAATTTTAACTTCAGATCCGCCCCTGCCTATAAGTCATAGTTAGTTGCATGTACTTTATAAATCACAATGTTATATCTTATCATTAATCTGAGAAATAAAAACCATAAAACCTTTTTTCAATTTCAAAAACATTTTTGAAAATATATTTTTTTTTTCAACAAATTAAAAATACAACGATTTCCAAGAATATATATCTTTCTAAATTTTGAGCCATTTTTTCTCAGAATTTATTTATTATGTCGCCAAATTTTAAACGTAAAATCTCAAAGAAAACCTGTCACTAGATTCCTGTTATAAAATATGTTAAATAAATCTAAAATGTATTTCAGATATCATTCGGAGATCGCTGATCACCTGGTTCCATTCCAGTATTTGTACACTCAGTACTAGATCGAGTGAGAGTATATGGGGGAGAGTTGTAGTGGAAAGCGAGAGAGAGAGCACAGCTGTTTTTACCATTCGCTTCTGGATATTTGGACAAAGCGGCTCTGCTCTCGAAATCGCCGTTCACTTCTTCGGGCGGCGCTGAACGTAGCGGATGGGCTTATAGTCGGATTCGGGTTGGGTTTTCGTTCTCCTCCGGATAGACGAGGAGCTGCGCATGCGAAACACATAGAAAAGCAGAACCAAAAGTGCGAAAGTGCTAAGAACTAGAGCAAGAACGATAATAATAATACCTTCGGTGTGACAAAAACAAAAGAGCAAACAACAATTAAGTGCAGCGGGAAAATGCAGTCCAAATAATGGCAGAGATTTTTTAACCACGTATATTTACCTTTGTGCGTCGCCAGCAGTATTTGAGCAACATTTTGACTCGGACTTAGCCGCCGATCGCGATCGCTCATCGCTTATCAACGCTTGTGCAATAGCGTTTACCTTACCCATTTTCGTACCGCCCACAAAACGCCGACGCCGTGTTTTATTTTCTCCTACAACTGTATCGATTTGTGGGCTCTATTTACATACCTGCAGCCTTATCACAGTGCGCGCCCATTAGCACATTTCCGAAAAAAAAGAAAAAGAAACACTCCTCGGGATTATTCAAATAATTGTGTGTGCCCGCCGTCTCCGCTGGCCGATAAGATGACCACCCGAGTGGTGTCCAGGTGCAATAGTGCCATAAATTGAAGCCAGGCTTGGGTCCACTAAGCTCACTCAGATTAGAGCCCCCCGAAAAATTCCCCATCCTATCCACGATGAGTACCCTGCGTCCCGGCAGCGTTTGTGATACCACGCCGCTCCAGAGATTCGAGAGCCAAAGCAGCAGCGGCGAAGAGCCTTCTTCTCCGACGGCTTCTAGTATTTTAGCCGCTGCCGCCGCTGCTGCATCTTCAAATAAAACTCCTAACCACAATAACAATAATGTGAAACTGGACCTACAGCTGCCAACTTTCGTTGGTAACACCGGAAGCCATGGCCCCATGTATAACACAAAGACACCATTACGTGGCCCCCGACGAATCTTCGGAAGGATTCTCATGGACCTCTGTTTGCTCAGCTGCGGTGAGTAAGAGTTTCTGCGAAATAGATAATATCCGGAAAGTGGGGCGTCATTGAAGTGAATAATTTGGTTTTGAAAGGAAGTTAGACCAAGATAAGCTGCCTGTTCCATATTAATACTCTGTTCCTAAGAAATTTAAATAGTTTATTACAAATTTAAAAGTGTTATTTTTAATATTGTTTGAAGAAGTCAAAATACAATGCTATTTACATTGAAAAGTTTTTTTTTAAAGAATCAACACACAGCATGTTTACATTTGATATTCTTGTTCCCATTTCAAAAACGAAATCAACTACTACTAATACTAAATGGTCCATTGTCTTTGTAAGCAAAAAAATTTCAATTTTATTCTATTCTAGTTTCTATTCTAAAAGGCTTTAGGCTTAGTACTCAACCCAACAAAAAGTCGTCCAAAACAAAAAACTTCATATGAAAAACAACGTCAAAAAATTTTGTTTCATATGAAGTTTTTGTTTTGGACGACTTTTTGTTTGGTTGAGTACTAGCCCTTAACATGAAAAAGTTCTACAATAAATGGAATGTTCCCATTTCCCTACCATTCAACCGTTGAGAATAGCTTTTCTAATCGAAATCTTAAATAAATCATGCTTCTATATCAACTGAATTTTTTTAAGCTTATGTGAAGCTTCGGAAAAAGTATTATCACATTTCCCCGGCGGCCTTTCACACGTTTTATGATCTGTTATCATGTGGCAGCAATTGATCTCTGGCACTTGCCAGTCATGAGCTCATTCCCACTTCTGAATCCATCATCCAGATACGAGCGTGTGCTCCATAGGGGTTATACTGTCCATACACCTAAGGCCAGCAAAACGGAATACCATAAATCTGCTTCAAACAACCGTAGGTGAGCAAGCACTTTTTATTCCGCCTTGTTTTCAAACAAAAACATTTTTAAATTACTCTAAAATGTTTATGTACTTGTTTCCTTTGTGGCTTTTTTGTTATGCGCCTCAACCCCAAAAGAGATACTACAAAAAATATATTTATTCGCGCATCATCGAGTTCGGACTGATTTATTCAATTTGGGGCCATTTTATTTTTTGTGGGGGAGAACTTTTCATTTGATTGTACTGAACTCATTTCCCCACCATCATCGTCATTGTTATCGTTGTGTTTATACTAGTCCAATTAAGGCTGGATCAGCAGACCTTGCCTATAAATGAATTGGACACCCCAGCGGTTCTGGGCCACCCAAAAAGCCCTGCTCCAGTTGCAAAAGATAAAAATCTGTGAAAAGTGTGAATATAATTTGATTTAATTACAATATTTTCAGTTGGTCTGCCCATGCTGGGATTTTCGCTTTGGGGCGAAGCCTTCAAACGTGGCTTCTTCTGCAATGATTCTTCCTTGAGACATCCGTATAAAGAGTCCACCATGCCCAGTTGGGTTCTTTACCTGATGTGTGGCGCCTTACCTCTTTCTGTGGTAAGTTTGGAAGTATTGTGGGAGTAATTATTTTACTAAATCATCCATTTTCCAATTCTAGATGATTGTGGTGGAGTTTTTCAGGGCCCAGGACAAACGGTTGCCTTTTCAAAAGCACCGCGGCAGTGGCTATCACCTTTGCCACTTGGAGTTGCCTTCTTGGTTGCTGGAATGCTATCACCGGATAGGGATCTTCATCTTCGGCCTGGGCGTAGAACAGCTCTCCACAAATATAGCCAAGTACTCGGTTGGAAGACTTCGGCCTCACTTTTACACTGTAAGCTAAGGGATCTATAGATTTGTATTATTTTTCTTAATTCGGAATTTTTACAGCTCTGTCAGCCTGTAATGAATGGCACCGATTGCAGTAATTCCATAAATGCTGGACGTTATATCGAGGAATTCTCCTGCGGGGCGTTAGATATAACTTCAAAGCAGTTGAAGGACATGCGTCTATCCTTTCCCAGTGGACATGCAAGTTTTGCTTGCTATTCCATGCTCTACTTGGTGGTAAGTTAATGTTAAGTTGAGGTTATTCCAGTATGTAAATTTTTTGATATCTTTGCAGATTTACTTACAACGTAGAATGCAGTGGAATCGCTTGCGAATGCTGCGGCACCTTCTCCAATTCCTGCTGCTCATGTTCGCCTGGTATACGGCTCTTACCAGAGTTTCCGACTACAAACATCACTGGTCCGATGTTTTGGCAGGAGCGGGGATCGGACTCACCTATGCCGTTGTTGTGGTAGGTTTTAATCATTCGTTTTAATATTTTTAAAAATAATCTAAAATAATCTTTCATTGCAGACGTCTACCATGTGGTAGTCAGGATCTGGATCCTTGACCTTAAGGGGGTTGCAAACCCCTCAACCCACCGCGTCTGCTGCTTTCGCTTTAAGATGTCATCTGTCTGCCGAAATTTCAGTTTTATCATAGTTTTAACTTTGACCATGTCTGCTAAGGAGTATATATTTATCTACGTGTGAAAGATTTTACTTAATAAATTTCAGTTTAATGTGTTTTATCCTAAGCTTTTAAATGGTATTTCTTACTTATTTTAAACGTTAGTGTTAGCAATTCTTATCTGCTGGAATTCCTAGGCTCAATCTTTACACCTAACTGCATATGGTATTATTCATAAGAGGACACTCCCCAAATCAAGTTTTCTAGCGAATGTTGAAATCTGCGGTGCCAGCGATTAATGGCTTGTTTTGGCCGATCGCACCAATGCAAATCAATTGATATGATCTGTGTAAAAAATGACGAAATTATGTGAGCAATACATGCAATTTAAATCAAATTACACAAGGAAATGTCCTTGACAGCAGAGATTAATAACCCCAAACTATTGCCAACTGGCTTTGGATTTTTCAAACATAGGTAGACAGCCAGCTAGCCATTTGGATTTCGAGGAGACTTAACCAGATGTATCGAAACCTGTCTTATGGACACGGTCCATGCTGAGAGATCTCTGATCTATGGCTAATTAGCAATTGGCGCAAAGTCAGCAGACCAATTTGTGATTTTTAATTAGTCTGTGGCACCTTTTCCCCTTTCCTCCCCGATTTGCACCAGATCAATTTGCATTCGATTTGCATATTAAACGAATTTATTGCCCTGGCCACTCAGCACGATGAACAGGAATTAAAAGAGACCAGGAGCCATCGGAAGATGATGCATCACTCAATCAGGCGCAGAGACAGCCAAGTGCCACTCACTCACTTCGCCGGCGGAGTTGTTATTACTGTACAGTGAACACCATTCGGGCTATCAGCACTCAGGCCACTCGGACATCCCGAGGAGATTGATGTGGCCGTAAAAGATCGAAAGACAAACAAGACATCGCCATTCGGCGGAGTTGAGTGGATCGCACCGAATTTCGATGCAAGCCTTTTCAACAATTAACACAATTTTTTATTTCGCTTTTATCGCATAATTGCATTTCTCCCCAGCCGATTCCCCAATTTCCCCAATTTTCAATTGCCCGCATCTGCTGTCAATTTTAGTTTTTTTTCCCGATTCTGATGTGGGGAGAGATTTGGATTCGGGTTCTACGCGTGTCTGTCAATGGCTTCAAGTTTATGTCGAAACCTCTGAGGGAATAGATAGACTGAAGAAAGCAGATGCACAAAAATTAAATTGGGCAACCAGGGGGAGGGGTGCGACATAGTTTTTTCCCTATGACAATTGCCAGCGGGTTGGCAATTTTCGACAGTCGAGAATAATAATGAAAATAGCCCAGCAAATTTCAGGCGCGAAATTCATTTCGAGCCACGAAAATTGCAGCAACGCCGTGGAACAAAAAGGTAAAACGCCCCTTTTTATAAGGGAGAAGAGAGGGGTTATTTTTAAGAATTATTACATGAACCACAGCTTGATACCCTGTATTCTTGAATTTGTCAGAGTTGTGTGATAGATATTAAAATTCCCATTCCATTTTTACATCTAAATCATTCGCATGACCAATTTGTAAAAAATTTGTGGACTGTCATTGTTTACCAATAAGTATTTACTGTAATTATGACTTTACCACATTTGGGAGAGCCTATGGATAAATTCTTAGTGATTCACACTTGTTCTATAAAAAAGTCTGAATTTCTGACTATAAAACCCGATAACCGAAATTTTAAACGTCATAAAGGTTAATCAAAGTCGTACTAAAACTGTATTTGTACTACATGATGATTGGGCAAACTATGAATAACACAAAACCAAAATATTTCCAAAAAATCACCCTTGTATTTTTAAAACTTATTTTAAAGTCAGAAATATTTCTCAATTATTGTTCTCGGCACAATTAAATTTATTGTATTGATTGATCATAATATTGATTGATAATATATTTTTCACCAGTTTAGTTTGTATAGTCTAACACTTTTTATTAAGATATTAGATAATATTTATTCTTCTCCTAAGATTTGAGGAACATTTATTTATTATTTAGGAACTGAAGTAACTATCCAATCAAATAATAGTTTTTTATAATTTTTCTTCATGTCACAAAATATTAATATTTATTAGGATAAAAGTATGGAATTTTCTCCATCCTAGATCTATTATTTATCTTCGACCTTTGTATTTACCATATACGCTGGGGTAACAATAGGGTAACAATGGATTCGATTCAGTATAGTATGTATCACACTTGTTTCGACTGCACGCTGCATTGGTGCAACAATATTTTCCCTCGTCGCCGGCGGGCAGAACGAACAATTCATACCTGGAACCTAGGCGTTAAATTTGTCCGGCACGTAGAGCACGATAGGGATAAAAGGGGGCGGGGCAGGGGGCGGCTGGCAGGAGGTCTCTACAATCGCAGGACGTGGGCAGGCGTGGGCATTTCAATCAGTGCTTGACCGCAGTCTTTTGTCCCGATTTCCCGGTGAGTATGTGTATGTACGTGCAACATGGGCCACCTCACAATAGGTGGGCCATGGGCCATGGTCCGACCGACCCGACATGTCCTGCTCGCCCACATAAACAATTATTTGATATCTTGGATTTTCCCTTTTTTGCAGCCTGCTTCTGTAGGCGTTGGCAATTAGCGTTGGCTCTAAACGCTTATTAATGAGTTCAAGTCGAGCTTCATGGCCCCAAGGTAGAATCTATAAATCTTGGAGATCTCCAGATAAAACTGGAGTTAAGTTTAGCCAAGGAGGCGTTACCGAAGAATTAGATTTATGCGGATATTAGAGAATACTCGTTACCTGGGCAACTCCTCCCCATTATTTTGTACTCCGTTGCCTGTTAACTAATGTGTTGCAGCATTGTTCTTAAGATATTTCCATTTGAATGCATTTTCCCGTGGCGCATTTGGCAAAATGTTGTCACGACTGTAAGTGTCACATAAATAATCCAGGCAGCCACCCCTTTCGGGGCTAATGACATGCCGTGAGGAATCCCAGCAGGAGGAGTACCTATAGCAATTCTGAGTCGACTTTGACACCTCTCTTTGAAAATGCGCCGCCTGGATTTTCCAATGGCAATGGTTCGCTTGGTTCTCAGGCTTGGCTGGAGTTGAAACTGCGTGATGCATGGGATCGTGTTATGCAACTGGACAGGCTGTACAAAAGGGAAGGGAAGGGGGTGGGCTACTTACTAATGCATTGTACAGTGAGAAAATGGATCTTCGAGAACAAGTTCAATAAATCAATAATTTCGTTGAACATGTCTGAAATGATTATATTCACATTACACATTTTTTTTATTAATCAACTTTTTTTCTTTCAAGGAGATGATATCATCTGTCTATACAAAGATTTCAATTGATTAATTGAATTTTATTCAATCAGTTTTTATTACTGCAACGGGTTTGCCAAATTAAAAATTTTAATAAAAAACTACACTTAAATATTTCAGGTTGTAACTTGATTAGAAATGACAATTTAAAAACAGATTTTACGAAAACACTGGGAAAAAGTTTATAAAAAATTTTAAATTTAAGGTTAAAAATGATTTCTTTCTTTATTTATACGGCTGCCAAAATTGCTTTTATTTTAGTCCAAATAATATTAAAATTTTACTAAAATGTAAACCAAGAAAAAAATAATGCCAATTAAAGGTCTTCTATTTGATTACACTGTGCAACATTTTTAGGGTTATAAAATGTAACCGCAATTCTGATTTCATTGGCGGAAAGAACTCATCGAAATAAGCTAAAACCCATTTGGGTTTCTCTGGCTTAGCTCGCGTTTACCTATTATAGCGAGTTAAAGTTTTACATACAAAATTTATTTGTAACGGCCATATCTTGTGAACCGATTAAAATTTTACTATCAAGTCTTCAGTGATTATGTAGCTATGAACCCAAGGAACTAAATTGACAAATGACTCTTGCGAAGACGTACACCTAGCGCGTTAAAAATCGAAAAATTAGGCAAATTTGTTTTTTAAGGCGCTAGGTGCACTAGGTGCTAAGTGCGCAAGAGTCATTTGTCAATTTAGCTCCTTGGGTTCATAGCTACATAATCACTGAAGACTTGATAGTGAAATTTTAATCGGTTCACAAGATATGGCCGTTACAAATAAATTTTGTATGTAAAACTTTAACTCGCTATAATAGGGAAACGCGAGCTAAGCCAGAGAAACCCAAATGGGTTTTAGCTTATTTCGATGAGTTCTTTCCGCCCATGAAATCAGAATTGCGGTTACATTTTTCATGTTGCACTGTGTTATCTAATTTCCCCTTTTGAATACCATAATCCATAATCATAATCTCTCATGTAAAGTGAATTTTGTAAAATGTTTAACTTCGAATAGCTACTACTTAAATTGAACAGCAAATAGACCTCGATAAATAAAGAATACCTAGCAATTCTGTTCGTTTTTCTAAGCCTTTTCCCCAGTGCATCTTACAAAGTACTTCAGATGGTTGTTTGGACAGTAAACATGAGCCTGGCATATTATAAATAAACACTCCATGTATGCCAGGAATGGATGAGCACAGATTACCTCGATGGGCCTAATCCCACAGAAATTGCTTATCAACTGCAGGCAAATAAACGCGAGTATGTACTCGTCAGCCAAATGACTCGTTGTTGGCCATTTGGTTAAGTTACATTGCAATGGAAATTGCTATGGCAAATTGCTAGTTGCTCCCCCTTCCCAAAAAAATCCATGCCCCGCACTTTTTTAATTGAATAAACACAGCGGTTAGTGTGTTTACATTTTGAGTGCATCAGCAGCAGCAGCAGTTGCAACGCGAAACGTGCAACGTGCAGCAGTTGCAGCTGCTGCCGGCGACATGGCCAGCGATCAACTCTAATTAGCGGCAACCAGTTGAGGAGACAAGCGCTGCAAACGGCGGAAGCGGTCAATTATAAATACTCCACGGAGCCGGGCGGGAAAGAGCAAAGTTCCAAGTCCTGTCCAAGTGTCAGAAATATTGTCAAAGTCTCTGCTCGAGCCACACTTACAAGCTTTATCGATTGTACAGTTGAACTTCTATAGCTCTAACCTAATCTTAATATTTTGTGTGAAATTTAAAAAACTCCAAAGTCCTAGCAATAAACTTAAAAATCTATTTAAGCTATAGTTTATAATTACGATTCATTTTTAAAAGTTCAAGATTAGTAAAAATGGTTTTTAAACTATTTGAAAATATTAAAAAAATATTTCAAAATTTGAAAGCCTGAAAGTATGCAGCCACTTATTCTACTGCCTTATTGGTTGGCTTGAGGATTTTTTTGTCCTTGAAAACTTGTGAGGGATTTAATCCCACTTTAATCCTAAAATAAGGTCGAGAAAACAGTTTTGACAATATTAAATTCTATTCGTTTATTGCCGTCTTTAATATTTATTAGTGTTTTATTTCTCTGTAAGCTAAACTAATGAATTATAAGATAGTAGGTTAATTTTAATAAAATACTTATTGTTTTTATAATTTATTTTGCATGAGGTTCGCTTTACTCAAGCTTGACTGTGCTGGCATTTCGCATTTGCATATTTGCCGCTGGCGGCAGGCCAAGCTGTTCAGCTTCCACGGTGACGTTGATGGTGGGCATTATCACGGGCTTTATGCCGCCCGTGCGTGATACGCTTTTCCTTATCGCTGCCATCGCCTGATTTATATCAGTCGTAAATATAATTGCAATATGGTATCCAAATATGAGGCGTGACATGAGTGTGGCCATCGATCGATGATGGTGATGATGAGTATGATACGAGTCCGCTTGTATTAGCGCACTTCTTTGCCATATGGCTGCTTCTGTTGCTGGCTAAGCACACACCCAGTGCCCAGGTATTTCCGATCCCGCCGCTGATCCTCTTCCTTTCGAGCGGCACGCTCCTCAGCTTTATGTGTCATATAGCGCTGGTGCCAATCGCGATTGTGAGTCTGGAACAAAGCAAATGGGGTTGGGGTTAAAAATACAGGCAATTAAGGTGATTTCATCTCACCCTGGCGCAACGCTTCTCCATGAGCTCCTCGTAAATCTGTCGATCTTCCAGTATGTTATTACCCAAATCCTCACGTATATTTGCCTGCGATTGTTTGGCACTGATCATGAGGTTCTGTTTGATCTGATCCTGCAAATCAGTGAGTTGCTGGCGCCGTTTATCCTTCGCCTTCTTGAGGTCATGTTGTTTCTTGAGGACATCCATTTCGGAAGCGAATTCAAGGCTAAAAGTTCAAAGGGTAAGTTATAAAATAACACAATTTATAATGTTTTAAGAGAGTAAACAAATAAATAAATCTAAAAAAGTTATACAATTTTTTTGGATTATACTTTATGGCTTACATTAATTTGACTATAAATATGATTTAATAATTTTTATACATTTTTTTAGTAACTTTTTTGTAATTATAAAATTAAAAATTTGTTCAACACAAATAATAAAAGTCCTTATATTTTCTAAAAAATTTGACAATCAAAGGATTTTTAAAGGATTGCTTATAATTGATAAATAGATCATAGCTAAGATAATTATTATTATTTTTTTATTCATAAAATATCAAGTTCTTACGCTTGGGAACATTCGCGTTGCTCTGCCAACACATCCTTGGCAAACTGGGCCTTCTGCTCCCGATCAGTGTCCAGATTTTGGGCCTGGCACCGGTTCTCTATCAAGTTTCTCAACTGGAGCTCATATTGCTCCTGCTGGGCTCGACTTTCATCCAGTCGCTGCCAAACTCGCTGCCAAAGGATTTCTACACAGGCTTGACGGCGTTTAAGAGACTTTTTCTCCTCGATTTGGTGGAGCTGAGCTTGTTTCGACTCCAAGAGGATCTCCTTTGTAACCATATGACGATGGGCCTCGGAGTTTTCACTGAAAATAATTTATTTTATTAGTGAAAATAAGATATTTCATATTCCATACATCTCCCGTTGCTGCTTCTTAACTTTGACCAGTTCCATTTCGGCCTCCTCCCTTTTCAACCGCTTCATTTCGATCCACTCGTGTCGCTTTCGATCCGCTTCATCTGCTTGCTCCTGGAGCAATTCTGCAATCTTCTCGTCCGCTTCCAAAGCCTCTCTTTGGAGTAGAAGGCTGAGGTTCCAACGGCGATTGTCCACATCCTCATACCATTCTCGCATCTTTCGCGCCACCTGGAATCCTATTTGGGACTTGAGGTTGCGTCGGTCGGTTCGAGTAAGAAATTCCACAACATCCATGTTTTCATAAAATAACCAACTCACTTCAGATTTTTCTTTTGTTTTCTGGTTTCTAAGCGCAACTTGAATAGAATGCGGCATTCGGTTGACGAAGCTTGGCATAAACAAATAAATAAAACCTATGGTAACCATTGGACATTAATACAAATATATATTGAAAAATAAGGAACATTGTTAAAATTATTTTTTATCATTTTCATTTCAAAAAGTTAATTATTTATTTGCAAAAATTAATTTTATATTTATTTGTACACTTGTCGCGTGGCAAATGATTCTACTTACATTTACTGAAATGGGAGCTAAAATATTTATTTGAAATTGATAGGACAGAGATTAAATCAATTGTCCGTCAGAATCTTCATCCCTTAATTATAGTTTGGGTTAAAATTATTTGTTAAAATTATTTTTTATCACTTTCATTTCAAAAAGTTAATTGCTTTATTTTGTAAAAATTAATTTTATATTTATTTGTACACTTGTCGCGTGGCAAATGATTCTACTTACATTTACTGAAATGGGAGCTAAAATATTTATTTGAAATTGATAGGACAGAGATTAATTCAATTGTCCGTCAGAATCTTCATACCTTAATTTTAGTTTGGGTTAAAATACAAGATAAAAGAAATGCATAAAACTTCTAAGAGGTGAATTAGAACCAGTTCTGATTGAATACAAGTTTGTTTTATAAAACTGTAGGAAATGTTCACTCTTATTTTTTATTATTGGATACTGCCTAAATTAAATAAAATCAATTTAAAAAGTATACCACAGCATCTGACAATTAAAATTTCAAAATTCAAAAAGATTAGGGAATACCCCCATTATTTGCGATTCCACGAAAAATACTAGATTATTGGTAAATTGCATGCTTGGTATTATTTTCGCAAGTACTATCTGGCAACGCTGCGCGCAGAGCAGATGTTTCTGGATGGCCTTTGAACAGGCGTGAATTGGACCCGATAAATTGGCAAAAAAACCCGTGGAAACCGTGCAATGAAACCGTGGACAGCCAGGAGAAGGGGGCACTGAAGGACGAGGCAACTAAGGATTAGCCGGACGCGCCAGCTTATAGCCAGAAATCGGAAGAGCAGAGCCCGAGGCACCCTGTGAACCGGAGTTTGTGACGCAGTTACACAACAAAATTCTCAGTAGGCGCCCAAAGTCGGGGCAATACCAAGCTGCTAGCCGAATCAACGTGTGCCAGCTAATTGGTGCCCACTCGGGAGCTCTAGACCCCTGAGCCCCCCCATTTTTCGAACCCCCCTCGCAAAGGTACGTCCATCGATCGGGGTCTATTTATAGCCGGGGGAACATGCGATGCAATTGATTATATTATCGGTTCACTTTTCAGCTCAGGGACACCGGCGGCTTTCACTTTTAGACACACACGAGTTCATTGGTCAACCTTCGCAATGGTCGTCGCAGCATCCACTTGTCGCACGGAGACGGTCTTCGACTACAGCTGGCGGAACGTGGTGGTCGCCTACTGGAACCGCTATCCGAATCCCTCCAGCGCCCACGTCCTCACCGAGGACACCATTCAGCGGGAGGTGCGCGACGGCAAGCTCTTCTCGCGCCGCCTCCTCTCGAAGACCAATCCCGTGCCCAAGTGGGGCGCACGCTTCTACAACAATGTGCCGGTCAAGATTGTTGAGGACTCTGTGCTGGACCCGGTCAAGAAGACCTTCACCACGTTCACCAGGAACCTGGGCATGACCAAGATAATGGCAAGTGAATGAGAAATTAGTTACTACTGCCTACTGGGATCTGTTGAGATCATAACACATTGTAGGGCAAGGCTAATTCGTTGATAAGCTAAGATATTGCCAAGTGACTGTAAAGCTACTAGGATTTGTACAGTATAAATTTCACCTCTTAAAAAAGCTGTAATCGTTGATATGTACACTTATTAGCTTATAATGACCATGCTAATCCCAAATGACTGACAATTTTGTTATCTAACAAATCAATGATCATTCTAATAGCACAAATGTCGCTTACCTTATGTGATTTGTAGGAAAAAGAGGGGCATGTCCGTAAAAGTGATGTTTAATGCTACGAAAAAAAAGTGTCACTTAACTGTTCTAAAGCAAAAATTCAAAATACAATTAACAAAGCACCTTAATAACGACGTGCAGATAAGATTATAACCTAATTGCCGCAATGCACTACATATATAAACCTCAATACCTGAAGATACGTTATATAGGTGATGATTATATTGTTTAGAACCACCAGTTTTAAGCAAAGAGCTATTTATTAGTTTACTGAAGATGTAGAATCAGACTTATCAATACGGTTCAAATCAAAATACTTTCACCTTAATTAAATATCAGGTTTATTAAGTTTTTAGCTAAAAATTTGTAATCGAGGCTATTTTATCGTAGGTTTTGAAAAATACAATATTATATTATTTATTAATGAGTAATATTCACACTTTTCCTTTACAGAAAGTCGATGAAATCGTTATATACAGCGAGCAGAAGGACGGCAGCACACTGGCAGTGCGAAGAGCCTACATCAGCTCCCAGGTGTTTGGATTCTCGCGGGCCATCCGCGCCTTCGGAATCGAGCGGTTCAAGTCCAATGGCAACAAGGCTTCCAGCGGCTTTAACCACGTGCTGCGACGCATGTTTCCGCACAGCCTGGTGGGTGGAGGTCACCATCAGCCAGCTGTGACGACGACCACCTCAGCCGGAGAACTAGCTGTGGCCACCACCACGGCAACCAACTCAGCCGGTAATCACAACAACACAGGAACCTTGAAGAGCGCTGCCAAAGTGGGATACGAGTTCTTCAAGAGCCACGCCTCCAAGATTGCGCAACTGTTCTCTGTGAAGAACTGAGGGAATGAACTGTTTGAAACCGAGGAATCTACCGAAGCCTTCGGTTACGGAGTGTACGATTTTGCCAGGACGGGAAAAGGAAAGAGAGGCGGAGGCGTCCGGTCGGCGGCTGTTTTAAAACATGTATTCCAAAGCAAATACCAACCATATACTTTGCTGCATTTCATTCCGTGTGTGCGCGAGCCAGCCGGCTGATCAGAACGGAGGCACTATTTGCTGAACACATTTCCTGCATCCTACAAAATTCTTTTATTTATATTTAGTCATTTGCATTACTTGCATTATTGTGTACCATTCTGTTAGGGTCAAAAATGGAAACTAAAAGCCGTGTGTCAAATTTGGAATTTCTATGTAAACTGTTGTATATTTTTTTCAAGAAAATCGCACACACGCGTAGTTCATAAAATTGTAATTATTAAAAATACATTTAGTTTGTTAAAAATGCACGGCATCTATAACTTGTTTATTGTTTTGGATTTATTTCCTATTGGGTATGTGGGTATGCGTCAAAAGTAAAGTGGGAAACTCATCATTTACTCTTTTATAATTTTTAGTTGTTTATTAGTTTAAAAATATTTTGTTATAGATTTCATTTAAGTATTTAATTAGTTTAAATATCTTTTCAAATTAAAAATATTCCGTTACATTCAAAATTTCCAAACCTTTACAGCACTGCTCTCCAATCGCCCCCGCGAAAAGCTTTCTGCTTCGAGGTGAACGGCAAAAGTTGTGAGCGGTAAGAAAAATATAAAATCAATCGAAATTTTTTTAATAAGAATAAATATTTATCGGTGATATTTTGTTCACTTTATATATCGAATATGTTCTTTTTTTGAACCGTTACGGAACTAAAATTTAACTACTTGGGATGATCTAGTAACAAGAGCAATAAGATTTATTTCTGTGGAGCAACTCGGTGTTCCGGAGAGATCGGTGGAAGGCTCAAGGATGGCAAATGTGAGTTAGCAACAAAAATATTATTTGAAAATTAAATTATTTACCTTTGCTTCTTTTCGCTATTTGTGCCTAAAATAGGTGTTCCTTCAGTCCCATCAGTTACTGCTTATGCTTGTATGGTTTTCCTGCATATCGGTTCCCGCAAAACCGGCAAAAGAACGAAAGGGGGCTTCCCTAAACTGTTGAATTGCTGAATTGTTGACAATTCAACAAAAATTTCAACAATTAAGGGAACGACCCAAAATGGTTCCTGTTGAATTTTCAAACAGCTGTTATTTGTTGAAAAATTACACGGAACTTAAAGCATGTAAAATTTGATTTATTATTGCTAGTTACTGTCTAAAAGTGTTACCGAGGTAAAAAGAACCACAAATATGCTTTCTAAGGGCCGCTTTCTCGAGTCCCTGTCAAAGTCCCTGATAGCTATCTGTTCGAAAAACTTAAAGACCAGATAAACTGTTCGTAAAAGCAAATCCGCTTTCTCGACTGCTTTAATTTATCTGAACGAGAAACAATTACAGAGTGCTGTTAACGCACTGTAAAGTGCAAAAAATGGCATGCTTCGATTATATCATCAGCTGTTTGGGTATAATTCAAAGGAAAAGTCAACTGTGATTTCGTTTCTTCTTCATAGTTGGCTTTGGGAAATCAGCTGTCATTCTATCGAGCCGAAAACGCTTAACAGGGACTCCGAGTCCCTGTCAAAGTTAGCTCTCACATTTATGCTCGAGAAAGCCAAAATGCCTTAGCAGGGACTTTATCTATTCGAGAAATGTTAGCCGGCACTCGAGAAACCGGCCCTAAGTTGATTTTAAAATAAATAATGCGTATTGGTGATACTAAAATGTTACAGAGTTGCCACGACTTTAAAAAAAAGGTGACAACTCTGGCTTTTCAGCAATTCAACAAAATTTTCAGCAGCCCCGAGGCTGATGAATTGCTGAAAGTTCTGAAAGTTGACTTTGTATGGAACAGCTGATTAACAGCTGACCAAAATTCAACAATTCAACAGTTTAGGGAATCCCCCTTTAACTTCAGTCGGGACACCGAACTGACTTCTTAATTTTTTCGCCGCCCCATCGTGCTCCACCGTTGTGTAGTACAATACCAAGGTTTTCACTTTTAAAGAATTTATCACAAATGAGTCAGTCGTTTTTTTTCTTCTTTTTTTCCACTTCCATAATGCAGCCTACTGGTACCTGTGTCGGTAAATACCGCTGTAAGACTCTTTAAAGAGTTTACGAATTCCACAACGTTGGTGTTGTGGAATAGGGCTGGTTATAACTAAGTTCTATGCTTAAATCTTTAGTTTTAAAACTAAATTTATTCGTTATGTGGATTGTGTTTACAAAGTGAAGTCGGTTATTGATATCGATATTGATATTGCAGCCCTGTATTTATCGCTGCAACATCTTGTGGCCATGTTTTATTTCAATCTTAACTTTTTCGAGCCATGCACGACAACTACAACATGGAAAAGTGCCAGGATCAGGTGGTGAACTCGTTCCCGACATTGATAGGATGCAGGTACTGAAAAAAGATTCCCTATGTTGAGCTTTTCAGGTTTCAGGACGGCACTTCCCTGGAGGTTACCGGGCCAAAGCTGCTAAAATTCGCGCAGGATGTCAAGGACGATAATGGGTCAATTCTCCTTTTTAAGACTCTTGGAAGGAAGGGGATTTTCTCCAAGCCCTCCAAGCCCATGAAACGCAGTTAAACTAGTGACGATCGCACCTTCTACATAGTGATGTTCTGATATCAACTTTTGTGACAAATAACACAGGTACTCAGCCAAAAATGTCCACCAATTATTTCAAGTTTTCCATGATATTTGGGTGCTGCTGAGAATAAGAATACAAAAAACCGATGTTTTCCGATTCCGAAAATAATAAAGGTGAATATTATTTTCGCTAGGACATACTCTCAATTAGGCGTTAAGTCGTTTTCATGAGGACATTTTATTGGACTTATTAAACGAATTAAACGCCTTTTTTTGTTTTAATTTATACTCCTATGTGCTGTTAAATTTAAAATAGGTCAAGGCAACCTTTAGGATCCGATTAAATATGAATCCTTTTATATATAAAATACATTTGTATTTATTGAAATCGTCTTCGGCTTAGTAGCCAGCGACAATCCTGGCCCCAAAAGACGCGTGTAATTCATCTCCAAACAATTTTTGCTATGTTTGCGGATTATTTATTTCAATCAAAAGAAGAAGAAGAATCAAACAATATTCAGGAACAAAATCAAAATAAAACGTTTGTTCCCAAGTCATGCTGTGACAAATGCAGATTTAGTATGGAGCACCGCGCAAAAATAGTAGGCAGATGCAATTTCAAGACCTTCAATATGGATAGAACCAGAACACCACATCTATTTATATTTTCGAGAATTTTTAAATCCTATGGGCCTAGCAAAAGAAGCAGTCTTGAAATATATTTCAATCGTTTTAAAAGAAATTATAAAATTCATAAAAGATTCAAATGAGTTTCGCCTTTGCCCTTAATGAAAGAGATGTAGATACCGAAGTTCCCAGTTGTGGCATTATTGTCACTTAAAAAAAGCTTTTCAAGATTCCTATTGAAGTCAAACGAGGTGACTTGTAAACCTGAATCTGAAAATTACATTCAAACCCATTTTTATAAATTTTGTTGACAATAATCGGACTACCACGCCACATTTTTTTATAATGCCAATAGAATTTATTGTCACTTAAAAAAAGCTTTTCAAGATTCCTATGTTGAAGTCAAACGAGGTGACTTGTAAACCTAAATCTTAAAATTACATTCAAAACCATTTTTATAAATGTTGTTGACAATAATCGGACTACCACGCCACATTTTTGTATAATGCCAATAGAATTTTCTTACTCTATGAGGTCGTCAAGAGTAAATGGAATTTTCACCAAAATGCACTGTTCCTTTAGTTAGTGAGTTTCTTACTCTATGAAATCGTCAAGATTAAATGAAAGGAACACCAAAATGCGCAGTTCCTTTAACTGGAAAACCATTTAAAAAAAAAGGAAATTGGAGGAGGAAGTCATAGATATGGCCATGTCTGAGATGTAGGTCCCGAAGTTCCCAGGTTGTGGGATTATTGTCACTTAAAAAAAGCCGATAAACTTCCGTTTAGCTCCAACCCCCGATTTCGTTCAAACTTTCAAAATCCACGTTATTTGGGGTCCTGATTATTGGAAAAATAGTCAAACTTGGCGCAAATAACGGGATCATGGAAAATAACGGTAAAAACGGTTTTTCTTAAATATCTTCGAATATAATAACTTAATCAAAAAGCTAGCTAGGAAAAATGAAAGCTATTAAATAAATGAGTAATAGTAAAACTAATAATTTTCGTTAAAAACGCTAAATAAGAATATTTTTTCACAATGTTTGAAAATAAAAAACCTATGGAGCACACTTGCGTCATTTTGCCCGATATATCGCACGAAAGCTTCATGTTGTATCGGTGTGTCAAAATTTATATCGATGTCTCTCGATGTATTAGCTATGATACTACCTAAGCACGAGAATGGCGTTACATTTTTTAGGAAGAGCATTTCAGTTCTCGTAGTTAAATATAACATTTAGAAAACAAAATAAAATACAAATTATACAACGGAAATAAAATGTATTAACAAAAAATACATATAAATCATTTATAAAGACGCAGGCAAATATTTTTTTAAACAAAATTCGCCGCGATTTGATTAAGTTATTATATTCGAAGATATTTAAGAAAAACCGTTTTTACCGTTATTTTCCATGATCCCGTTATTTGCGCCAAGTTTGACTATTTTTCCAATAATCAGGACCCCAAATAACGTGGATTTTGAAAGTTTGAACGAAATCGGGGGTTGGAGCTAAACGGAAGTTTATCCGGCACAAGTACTCTCGACGGAAGGGCTAGCGTACAAGCTATATTTATTTATATATAAAACAAGAAAGGAAGCTAGCTTCGGCCAGTCGAAGCTTAAATACCCTTGCAGATCATTCCTATTAATTAACAAATCGCAAAAATGTTCAATTAATTTCATTAATCTCATTAATTTTCCGATCGTTCCTATGGCAGCTATATGATATAGTCGTCCGATTTTGATCAAATTAAAATTGAAATTCGGAAATATTTAAAAAGAGTCATATCCTAGAGTAGAAGATAATACAATAAAAACGAAAGAAGCTAGAATTTATTTCCTATTACTTTTCCATTAATTTCCCGATCGTTTCTATGGCAGCTATATGATATAGTAGTCCGATTTTTTAAATAATTAATTCGAAATTCAGAAATATTTAAAAAATAACATCCCCAAAAGTAGAAGGTGATATTTCAAAAAACACCGAAGCTAGAATTTTTTAACGTTTTCTTTTCCGATCCTTCCTATGGGAGCTATATGATATAGTTGTCCGATCCGGTCGGTTCCGACATATATACTACCTGCAATAGAAAGAAGACTTTTGGGAAAGTTTCATCCCGATAGCTCAAAAACTGAGAGACTAGTTTGCGTAGAAACAGACAGACGGACAGACGGACAGACGGACATGGCTAGATCGACTCGTCTAGTGATGCTGATCAAGAATATATATACTTTATGGGGTCGGAAACGTCTCCTTCACTGCGTTGCAAACTTCTGACTGAAATCATAATACCCTCTGCAAGGGTATAAAAATTGATTAGGGGTTTTAAAAATTAAAAAAAATGCACTTTAAAAATTTTTACCAAAGTAATAAAAAAAAATGTTTTAAAATTTAACTAGAGGACTTGTCGCGGAGAGGATTCGATGTCGGTAATGAAATTTAATAATAAAACTCTGTTAGTCATAAGATAATATTACATTTTTCTAAGGTACATATTTTTAAATTTAAAGGCATTTTTCCACTATGCGGTTTTTTCGGTATTTTTGTGTATTTTCGATTGGCAACGCGATAGGCGGACGTGAGGTGTTTCCATTGGCAAACGCGTCTGAAAACAGCTGTTTTGATATTGTCATTTGCGAGCTGAAGTAAACATTGATTTTAAATAATTTGTTATTGATAATTGCAATCGCAGAACAGCATTTGAACAGCGTGGAAACATTGCTGCAATGATGAAAGCAACAACATCCCACGTTACGCTGCTTGATCATTTATTACCGCAGAAAGCAAAAGGATCTGCTGCAGAAGGCGTTCATATATATAGATCTGATCAGTCATTTAAATAATTCTTTGACACGACCCGCGACAGCAGTAGCTTCTGCGGCGGCACGTCACTGAACAGAATCTGATACGGGGCAGAAACGCCTACAAGGACATTGTGCGCAAGAAAGAGGAAGATGTGCCCTTTTCAGCAGTCGCCTGTCAACGTGTGTCATTTGAATATGGAATGGCCATCTACGGTCTAACCAGGAGGTCGCCTTAATGGACGAATGGCGCACGCAAAGCAAACGTCATGATCATGGAGACGGGGGAAGCCCATGTGGCTGCGCTGCAACGACCAATATTTCGCTTCCGATCCTTCCTAGCCGGGCCATTCCATTGGATAAACGAACTGCTACTGCCCTTTATGCGCTTGGATTATCCTCGGAATACTGAATTATTGCCAGATCATTTGGCATATATGATATATCAAATACCAATCTATACGAAATAAAGTTCATGTAAATATCAACAATAAATGGTTTTAATATTTCCCGCTTCTTATCAGCCTTTTATCAGTTTCGGGTCCAGAAAATGTTTATGCCTGGTTAATACTGCTTAAAAATACCACAAATTTCACTTTCCAGCCCTGTAACGCGAGAATTTTCCACCCTCCCCTTCTCGCCCCTCGCCAACAAGTTTTGTATGGGATTTGGGCGCGTTAAACGGTAAATGGATGCAAACGCGACGCGTCCATAATGAGCAAAGGGCATAAGGGCGAAATACGAAAAAAAACGCGCCATGTTGCTCTACCGCAAGATGGTGTGGAAATGAGCATTTGTTATTTGTTTTCAAACAAATAGAATAGAAATGGAACAGGGGGATTCCCTAAACTGTTGAATTGCTGAATTGTTGAATTTTGGTCAGCTGTTAATCAGCTGTTCCATACAAAGTCAACTTTCAGAACTTTCAGCAATTCATCAGCCTCGGGGCTGCTGAAAATTTTGTTGAATTGCTGAAAAGCCAGAGTTGTCACCTTTTTTTTAAAGTCGTGGGAACTCTGTAACATTTTAGTATCACCAGTACGCATTATTTATTTTAAAATCAACTTAGAAAGCATATTTGTGGTTTTTTTTACCTTGGTAACACTTTTAGACAGTAACTAGCAATAATAAATCATGCTTTACATGCTTTAAGTTCCGTGAAACTTTTCAACAAATAACAGCTGTTTGAAAATTCAACAGGAACCATTTTAAGTCGTTCCCTTAATTGCTGAAATTTTTTGTTGAATTTTCAATAATTCAGCAATTCAACAGTTTAGGGAATCCCCCTAACATTTATTGCCGATGGTTTTCGGCAGCCCTTTTCAATATCGACTATCGATTTTGGAAATATCGAGTGTGAGATTTTTTAGGGGAAAGCAAAATTTTCATCTGGCAACACTGTTTGAGAATCCAGCGCGCTCTGGAGGCCGCGCTCTCAATCGGAATTCGCATTCCCAATCAGAAATCCCAACCGTTCGCGTCGAACACACCGTTCGTACAATAATAAAACCGAGAACAATTAATCGCATGAAGAACTGCAGCTGAAATCGCGAGACAAAAGAGCACAAAACACAGCAAATACCGTACAAATCAGCTACGTTTATGGCGCACCAGGAGAAGAGGAAGAGTCAGCGCACCGCCGCCCCCGCCTTTCATCGCAAAATCAACAACAACAAGGAGCAGAGCTAACACGAAGAAAAAACAACGAAAATACCTTGTATATTTTTGCTACCACTTTTGTATGGTTAACACTAAGAACGCTCCATTGATTTATTGAGCCCACTGCCAGAGTTTTCAAGTTTTTCTAGACGTTGCCAGCTGTTTCTACCGCTCTTCGTTTCCCCCCCTCCGCCTCCACAACTTCTTCTAAAGAAAGCGAGAGCGCGGTCAACGTCCTGCGAAGAGAGAGAGAGACGTGGAGAGCGATAAAAGCGAAGGTGAGCGAAAGGACACCGGCAAACTCTTCTTCTTCACCGCAAAATAATTTAAAGTTTAAGTAAACCTGAAGTGGCAAACAAAGTTGTTAAAGATAAAGGCCCGCAGAGACCGGCAAACGTAATCAGCAACGTAATCCCCCGCGAACCAGAAAACCAAAGCCAAAATGCGCCTGTTTCCAGTCCGATTCTCCGCCGCCTCCTCGTCGATGGCAAGTTTGGCGAAAATGCTCGACTTTTACTCCCTTTACTCCCCTACTCCACTCTCGTTAAAGCAGTTTATGGACTTCGGTGAGTAATTACTTTCTCTTGAATCCTAGCTGTTCAGTATTAAACGATCTTATCAAACCCCTGTTGAGTAATCCAATAAATCTGATAATCATGGGATCTTAGAGATTATAGAGATTAGACTACTGCTAGTAAGACCTTCTTATATGTATGTTCTCTAAGAACCACAAAATTATTCATTTTTTACGTTTTAAAATTATAAAATGTAAATTATATTTATTTGGAAAGTTATTCCTTAAATGGAAAAAAAGATATTCATAGATGTTAGTGATTCAAAGTTTTTGAGCATTATGAGGTTTATTTAAAATATTCTAAAAACTATCAGCAATAATTTGTAACTGGATTATTATGGATCACTTATTACAGATATGAAATATAATAGGTACTGTTGCGCAATTAATAACACTATGCAGCATCAAAAATGAACCTCGATGAATGCTATATTTTTGGATTCGTTACGAATTCCCAAGTTAAACTGCGTTTTACTAAAAGTTCCCCGACGCAAGGATTCTTAGCAAAAGGACCTCAAAGTTCGAAAAATGCTGTAATTGACCAACTTTGCGGAGCTTTCAGAGGCAAATGGATGCATGGCTTGGTTCGAAGTTAAAGTTTTTTAAAAGATACACCCTTTATCTTTCAAACCCCATACATAAAATAATTTTAGGATTTTTTTTAAGGCAGAAATAAATTCCAAAAAACATAGTCAAAAAACTGAAAAACATACAGCTGCGGTCAAAATAGTAGCAGTGTCGCCGCCTTGTGTTTTTAAAAGTTTGATGTTGTAATTTATCTTATCTTATCTTATCTTATCCAATTAGTCTAATAGTAAAATTATAATCAATACAATATTACCAGGAAAAGATCAATTACAACAACAAACTTTTAAATACACAGGGCGGCAACACTACTACCATTTTGACCGCAGCTGTATACTTTTATGTTTTTTGACTATGTTTTCTAGACTTTGTTTCTGCCTTTTTTAAAAAAAACTTAAAAATTTTTAAGTATAGGGTTTAAAAGATAAAGGGTGTATCTTTTAAAAAACTTTAACATAGAATCAAACCATGCATCCATTTGCCTCTGAGAGCTCCGCAAAGTTGGCCAATTTCAGCATTTTTCGAACTTTGAGGTCCTTTTTGCTAAGAATCCTTGCGTCGGGGAACTTTTAGGAAAACGCAGTTTAACTTGGGAATTCGTAACGAATCCAAAAATATAGCATCCATCGAGGTAAATTTAAAAAGCACTAAAAATGCTGCACAGTGTAATGTAGAAAAATAATAAGAATCTCCTTTTAGTCTAAAATTTCGTTTATAATTTACAAAAACCCGATCTCTCTAAACTGCTAAACTGCGCAAAATTCCCGTTATCTAATAGCCAATTTCGTTTCATTGAATTGTCAATTAAGCATTTGCATTTAAATTATTTTGTGCCCGGCGAACTGTGGGCTGTGAGCGAGACAGAGAGGCAAAAAGGCAGCTGACACAGACTGGCAGTATAAACAATTGAATGCACAGTTCAATTCAGCTTAGCTTTGGCTTTTCCTCGACCCCCCGCGTGTTTTTTTTTTTTTTCCTATTTTGCTTCCCATTCAACCGCCTGTTGCAAAAACGGAAGTTAGAACAACTCAACCCGTTTATGAGATGGCCCTGTTTGAATTCATAAACAAGTTTCGACAATGAAACATGAGGATGGGGCGAGGAAAGCGTTCTTTCCGCCCACACTTCATTGGGCGCCGACAGCCGGCACGTGGCCTTCAATGACGTTTCAATGTCAGGCCCACAACCCCCATAGAATATCCCGAAATCCAGGGCTTCAACCTGCCCCAATAACGAAACATGCAACACTCGAAATGAGTGGATTTAGTGCACCGAAAAATTATAGTATAATTATAATTTCCAATTGTTCTTAAAAGAATTTTTAATCTATCGTACAAAGTATATCTTCTTTTAAACAAAGCCATTAAATAGTTAGATAGAAATAGGACATTATTATTGTGGAAGTATTTTTTATATCTTTAAAAAGAATACAAAAATACAAATCTCTCAAACCTTTGAAGCTTAAGTCCAAAATTCAAATGCCCAAAGATCTAGGCCTTTCTTACATACAACTTTACTAATTTGAAACCTCTTTTCCATTTCTGTATATCATGAAAATAATAAATTTTTTCCCGTGCAACAAGCAGACTTGAGTGTAAACTTCTAGGGCATTCTTGTTGAAAAACTGGCAACTGACGTGAGCAGAAATAAAAGCCAGGCCAAGCAGCTCGGCTGGAAAAAAGCAGGGGAAAATGTAGGAAAGGTTGCCCTCCGGAGGCTGAGCTATTATCATCTAAATTTAGATCCAAACAACAGGCTTTGTTGCAGGTTTTCTATCCCTTTTAAGGGCGCTAGTGCGTTGCTGTGTTCTTTTTTAAGCAGTCTGGGGCTTTGTTTATGAGCTACAAAAGAACGGAATTAGTTTACAAGCTTTTATAGCCACCCAATTCGCCAACCCCTCGTCGAACTGACCAAATAAATAACTAATATATACCTGCCTATACTTGAACTTTGATGTCGGTCTGTAGATAAGGTTGGTTTTCGCTTTTGTTTTGCCCCCAACTGTACCCGGGGCACTTAATTGTGTTTTTCTGGTGTTTGTGGGGGTCCATAAACTTGGAGTAATTATGTTTATATCTATGGAGTGCGGCTTGTTATTGAATTGGAACATTGTTAATATATTATCATGCACGCGACTATATGATGATTCAGGTTAACCATCGATTAGCGCTTTGTAGGCTAAGTAAGCGAAGTGTAAGAAATCGAAACGAGGTTCTAAAACTCGCGCCTGAGTGACGGTCCCCCATTTATACAGTCTAGTCTATAGTATTTTTCGAGGGCGCCCCACAATACCTATATTATTAAGGCGGAATTCATAATATTTTGAAACAAATATCTGAAGGCCAAGTTTTTATATCAATGGAAAATATCAAATATATACGGCATTTGTGTATCGGGAGTCCAATTTGGAATTGATGATGAGTTTGATCATGTGCCAATTTTCCTTGTGACAAAGAGACCTAATTATTCAGCTGGGGAAAGAGGGAAGATGGAAACGCAGTGTCTGACAATTCAAGAGTGTATTGTATAATGGAAGCATTTTGGATGGATGGATGGTACAGATCACCGTGACCATATCGAACAAAGTCCAGGATGCTGTCACCTCATTTCACCCACAAATCAAAACTGAACTTTGGAACCTCTTTAGGAAAGAAACGAAAAACAGCAGACGTCAACAGTTGGCCGAAATAAAGGCAAAACAGAAACGAAAGGCCAGAAAAAGAGTGAGCACCCCCGGCGATAATAAAGACGTCCGACCGCTTCACACGCGCCGTATTTTTGTCACAGGGCGAATGTGAGTCAAATATACCTAGCTACATATTCGAAAGACTTTGAGAGAAATTCTCATAAATTGGGTGGCCAATAAGTGGGGCTGATGCAATAGAAGAGTGCGATTACCGTGCTCTCGAAAACAGCTGTTTTACAGAAAAAGGGGGATGGTCAGTCATGGTTTTGGAGGAGGGGCCAGCTGTGACGTCAGCGGTTCTATATATAGGATGCAATTTTCCCCTTTCTAATGTAACTGCATTGGCGGAATAGAGTCGTTTGCAGAAATTGCATTTCTTAGCGCCCTCAGCTGATTGCGTGCCATGCGTTGTAAATTATTTAATGCGCCATTGACGACTAAATTACCCTGTGTATCGCCAATTGAATGGCCCAAGCTGATAATGAGGATTGAATTGAAACCGCAGCTCATTTTCGATTCTACGCTCTAGTATTGAATTCGTGCGGTGACTAGTTTTCAATTTCACGACTACAACACGCAACAGTTTTTCGCCCATTAGCCGCTAACTTCTTGTTACATAAAGCCTAATATTCAAGGGTTTTAATAATTTTTTAAACTAACTATTTAGGTTTAAAAGAGGCAGAACAATGTCAAAATAAATTGCAAAAAAATAAAATATTACCGTTTAATTACGAGGTATATTACCAATATTTTATTATTTTTGTTATGAGAGCTTTACGAGTTTAAAATAAATAAATTCCAAAAATATACTACTTATAAATATTTAATGATTAGGTAGGTATATTATTTTACCAATATTTTATTTTTGCTATGAGAGCTTTACGAGTTTAAATAAATAAAACTTGATTAAGTTTAAAGAGTTACCAGTTCAAAATGTTATTACCAAATAATTAGTTCATGTTCTTTCCTCATTATCTTTGCTTTTAAAATACCTTTTTAATTCCTAAGCCCATCAGCCCAACTTCCTTTTTTTATGGTAGGGCAATTATCTAAATGCATATAGCACTTATGATTAAGCCACTTAACGCCTTTGCGAATTTATCGCCGATTAATGCGAGGGTGAGACTTATCAGGCGAAGAGGCAATGCATCAAAGTCTACATTTTGTGGAGTGCCAGACGACATTTGTATGTATAAAGCTGACAGGCCGATCGAGTCTGGAGGTTTTTTCTATATTTTTTTTTTCAACTACAATCAAAACAAGCGAATTGCCGGAGAGAGAGAGATAGGGAAAAAGGGGGGAGTCTAAAATGGCAAACAAGTAAACAAAAACAAAGCATTAAAAGCTTTGTTTTGAGGTCATCCGCTAGGGACTTTTGGGGTGTGAGCGGGCAGAAGCTCGTGTATAGGGGGGCGTTTATCTCGCACTCTCCATATCCATATCTCAAAACTCAGATCTCTCGCCTTTTCGATCGTTTTCTGGCAGGTTCTTATAAGCAAAATCATCAGGTTATCGCCTCTCTTTCCGTATTTTTTGCCTGCCTTTATAACTCGTTTTATTGATTCTGTTTTGTTTGGCCAATTCGTTACAATTGACTCATAAAGCGGTTCCAGCCTACACTCATAAAAATAATTTTCTACATTTTAGAAAATCGCCCTAAAAAATTTTTCGCCTTTAAACTGAGAAAAATTTTCTATTTTCACGACAAATTTGCCATAAATTTAAGGCAGGTGACCATAAAAAAATATTTTTAGGGTTAATTTTTCTATTTTTCTAATATTTAGGGCGATTTTTTTCGATTTGCTTCGTTTTGACCTTTTCTAAATCCAACGGCGAATTGCCCTAATTTTTTTTCTAAAATTTTTCTAAATACAAGGGCGATTCGCCTTAAAAATCACTCCAAAAGTGTGAAATTCGGTAGCCCAGCGGTCTAATCACTTGCGCTTTCAACTTTGCTATATGAGGACTAAGGTCGTGGGGTTGTGGGTTCGAACCCTGTGTGATTCAACTTGATTTTTATGTTTTTTTTTTTTTTGTAAACGTTATAATACTAAGGACATTTTTTCGTCCGAATTTTAAATTAAAGTAGTCTTTAAACCTTAAAAACGTATGGGAGTTCTGAGTTAAAAGCATACTTTGTGTTTGCTGGCAAGAAAACGGGACTAATTGTCACAGTCGTCAGGAAAAAAATATTTGGTTTAGTTGCCTTTAGTCAAATTATAACGTAGACCTCAGGAAAATAAGATGTATGCAGGGTTTGTTCGTTGTCTTGCGCGATGGGTCTGTGGTGCAGCGGTAGGACGTTAGACTCTAAACCGAGAGGTCGTGGGTTCGATTCTCGCAATGACCAAAAAAAGTAAGTTGTTTTTTCTCCTCATATTTATTTCCCTAATTCGTTTACAAACATGATTTTTCAGTTCTAACGGCTGTGTTGTATAGATCGGGCCCCCTCCTAACGCAGCTCCCATATAAGCTACACACCAATACAATAATATGCAACGGTCTCCTCCGTCGGTGTTGTTTAATTAAAGCAGTCCCAGTTCCCAGAATATACACGACTAAAATTCATGCTTCCCAAATTCAGTTAAGCATGCTCAAACACGATTTTTTTTAATTTGCATAATTTTTTAGGGCATTTGCCTATAAAAACAGAAAATTCGCCCTTAATTTTAGAAAAATACACCTTAAAATTAGGGCAAATCACCCTAAAAACAGGAAAATATTTCTTATTTCAAGAAAAATCACCCTAAATTAAACCAAATTTCCATCGGGATTTTTTAGAAAATTTTTCTAAATACACGGGCGAATCGCCAGCGGATACGATTTATGGGCGATTTTCTAAATCCACGGGCGAAAAGTCAGTTTTTTAGGGCGATTTAGGGTAAAAATTTCTATGAGTGTAATTTATTCGCTATAGCCACGTCTATATATGTACATACATATCTAGTTTGTTTTTGCGTTGTGTCTGGAATTTTTATAAACCATGGCGAATTTCTCGAACCCCTAATGATTATTATCGCCATTCATTTTTGGCAAAAAACAATTGCTGAAAAAGAAGGCGTGTCTATTTTGCCGGCTGGTCAAGGCCCCAATCGATAAGGCCGTATCACTGCGAACGCCAGTTTCTTGATTTTCTCTTTGTTACGAAACTGTTGACTGTCGACAAACAAACAGAAAAAAAAATAACCCAAACACATACATACACTAAGAGAATCAAAAGCAAATACAAAACAACCAACAAAATAACAGACACAAAGGCATATTCAAAAGCTTGACGAGGGCAAAGTTTTTTGCGGTTGATTTATTTCACATTTGCCCGAGGAGCTTTGAACTTAGCTTGTTTATAACAAAAAAAGTACAGACATATGCTGTACGAACATACAAACACACCAAATTCAGACATGTATTTAGCTCAAGTACTTTTGGGCTCTCTTGATAATTAATCCAATTGAATTTATGTGGGCTCCAGAATTGTTTTCTTTTGTGTACGACAAGGTTGTTTATTCTAACTGGGTTGTTAGTCCCCATGAGGTTTTCACTCGTGAGCTCATGATCGCTGGATGCTTCATAGCTGCATTGATAAGCCGCCCGGGAAAAATATTTGAAATAATCTAGAGCACCAGACAAATACATAGAAATAACTGAAAAGAACCGTATTTGAAGAAATTGATTCGATCTTACGTCGCACGCCTGATAATAAAATCGAACTTTTGTAGATAACTTTGTTTACCAAATTATCTTCATTCTTTGACGTTTATAAAACTAGTTCATTCTATAGACTTGGACGCTATTTAAATTTATTTTTAATTTGCTATTATAAGTATCTTCGTTCCACTTATTTAAACGGGTTATTTTAGCATACTACCAAAATGTTACCACGAATTGAAAAGTTTTAAATGTGTTAATCTTGTGGTTAACCCACCAAGACAGAAAATTCCTTTTATTAAACAAAATTTAACATTCTTAATTCCCTCTTCATATTTTTAAACAGGTCAAAATGCCTGCGAAAAAAAATCGTATATATTTCTGCGCAAGGAGCTCCCCGTTCGACTGGCGAATATCATGAAGGAGATCGCCCTTCTGCCGGACAATCTGTTGCACACAAGATCTGTAAGCGAAGTGAGCTCCTGGTATGTCAAAAGTTTCGAAGATGTCCTTGTGTACGAGAAAGCCGAACCAACGCACGACAACCTGCAAAAGTAAGTCTTACGATTTCGAAGAGATCCCTACTTAACTGAGACATTTCTTGTATCTTTCAGATTTGTGGCCGATTTGGATCTCATTAGAAATCGGCACAACGATGTGGTGCAAACGATGGCTCAGGGCGTGATCGAAATGAAGGAGAACGAGGGCGGCCAGGTGGATGCGCCCACCGAGAGCTCCATTCAGTACTTTCTCGACAGGCTGTACATGTCACGGATCAGCATTCGAATGCTGATCAACCAGCACAGTAAGTAGAAGATGTATTTTTCCTGCAAAATATATAATTTACTAATTATGTTCTTCCTTTCCTTTAAAAGCCCTTCTCTTTGGAGCAAATCCCCATGCGGGTGGTCGCCACATTGGGTGTCTGGATCCCGCCTGTGATCTCTCGGATGTGGTTCGCGATGCGTACGAGAACGCCCGCTTTCTGTGCGATCAGTACTACCTGACCAGTCCGGAGATGGAGATCCAGCAGCACAGCAGCGAGCCCGGTGACAACCTGCCCATCCGTACGGTGTACGTGCCCTCGCATCTCTACTACATGCTTTTCGAGCTCTTCAAGAACTCCATGCGAGCGGTGGTGGAGCACCATGGCCATGACAACAACGACACATTGCCTCCCCTGAAGGTGGCCATTTGCAAGGGCAAGGAGGACATCTGCGTGAAGATTTCTGACCAGGGTGGCGGCATTCCCCGCTCTCAGACCGATCAGCTTTTCAAGTACATGTACAGCACAGCGCCGCAGCCCTCGAAATCGGATCTGCACACGGTGCCTTTAGCAGGCTATGGATATGGTCTGCCGATCTCAAGGCTCTACGCCCGCTATTTTCACGGTGACATTGTGCTGCTTTCCTGCGAGGGATTCGGCACCGATGCGATTATCTATCTGAAGGTGGGTTGGAGAGTATGTTGTAGCCTTATATGCTGTTCATTTATCTATTGATAAACACTTAATGTTATCACCTAGTTTCTTGTAAGATTTTATAATTGTCTCGATGTTATATATTCCTTTGAAAATGTTATATTTCAATTTTAAAACCTACAAATTATTTTTGATTTAGTGTTGGCGTAATATTGTCTGTACTTAGTCCATAAAACTCAAACAATTTATTTATTTTACTTAATAGCTACTAAAACTAATTTATGTAAATGTTCCCTATTAAAACTTTATTCTTTTTCAGGCTTTGTCCGACGAGGCCAACGAATTGCTGCCGATCTTTAACAAGACAAGCTCAAAGTTCTATCGCGCCACCGTGCCAACGGGTGACTGGTCCAATCAGGTAAAATACGCTAAAAAGAAGAAGACGAGCGCTGTCAGCCAGTAGACGTGTGAAAATGTCTAAAAGCAAGAAAAAAATAATAATAATGAGATGAAAAATGAAACGAACCCGCCTGGCTGTGTAAAGAGTTTGCGCCACCCTGCACCAATTGAATTCAATCCAATCAACCCAATCCCAGCAAGCAAGCAAGCAACCCACTTCCCGCATCCGCAACCCAGTCAAGTGAAAAGTGTTTATTTATTGTTTAATGTAATGTTAATGTTAAATACGACTTATGTTTGTATGTGCCCCAAAACTTCCCCAACCCGAATAATTTTCGAAAGCTTCTTTCAAATATTGTCATTTAACATTTGACATTCCACAAACATTTCTGCCCATTTCGGAGCGGGCTGAAGTTCTGTTTAGTTTTTTTGTGGGGAGCGAGTGGCGCAGCGCCCTTGGCTTTATAATTACGTTTGTAGCTATTAAATTCGATACATATTTATATATATGCATACCTATATACACGAAAAACATTTATACTCTACAGTAAACTGATGTTTTGAGACCTTTACGAAATTAGCTTTAATTTGTGGATTTTATTTAGGCTATAGCCCGAACTGCATGCAATGTTAAAATACATTTATCTTTTTGAGCACACTATTTAGATTTATTGGTTAAGTTATAAACGTTTTAAACAAATAAACTGGAAAGTATACACCAAAACTAATTCGTTTTTTTTTTGTTTGAGAACACAAAATGTATTATATTATTTGTAACTGAAATTCTTTAAAAATAATCAAATTTGAAATGGGTTATTGGAGTGGTTGAAACCCCGAACATGCTGATATTCATTTTTATCATTTCCTTTATTCTTTCATTTTTGCCATTTAACAGTTAAATCCGAACTAAGTGTTTATGGTAATTTCTGTTGCTTTTGTTTAGCCCCTTCTTTACTTATATACTCTCAAATGATGATTTCTTTCAGAACTTTTCCAATCGTTGGCGTTATTTATATGGGTTTTTAAAGAATTTATAAGATTGTATCCGGCCCAGATGCGTTTGCAGTTCTTTGGTTTTGATTTCTCGCCCCACAGAGTAACCATTAAGCTCACGAAACTCTCTGCATCTTTTAGAGCTCCGATATGAACGCACGCCAGCTGTCGGCCAGCATACCAAAACGCTGCGACTTTCAGGACGCTTGAAGGAAAAGCTGTGGCAACCGCTACTCAGGTTTAGGAAACAGGACGATTCAGGAAAACTACTGTTGGATACTAAAATCTCGATATATATCACTGGCCCTAGGCAAACATTCCCAAACTGCAGCAGCAACAGAAGCAACTCAAATTTGTATTCATGGCAGTAACGTGTAGTTATCGTGTTGTTATTAAAAAAAATCAGACGCATAATAAATAATGCAATTGTTAAAGATCGAGCGGTTGTGTTTTCTTTTAGGCACTACATTTTATTCTTTACATACACAATAATAATAGTAATAATAATATTTCTCTATATTGCATCAATAACATTAAATATTGTTCATTTTGCTTTGATTCTCCTCATACTTCGGCTCTATACAATAATCGATTCATTTGCTTCCGGTTATGTCTTTATAATTATTTTATACAAAATTCTCACATTCAGTTAGCATTGTTTAGCATTTTTTCACATTTATCACTTGTTAACATTTTTTCATTCGCTTTACTCGACAATCAATTAATCTATTTAACTACAGCAACAAGTTGATACATTTAAACAAAGTGCGATTGATTGTTGTTGTGTTCTTTTGATCTCGACCTCAGATAATAATCGTATTTATAATTATAATAATAATAGTAGAAATCATAATATGCAATATAAAATCGACAAAAAATCAATGATAATAAATACAATACAATATATAAACAATAATACACATTAAATAAATCAAATTGCAATTGGATTGGAATGCATGCGAAACGGAGAAACGTAGAAGGATAAACGAAGAGACAAACTTTTGGGATGTCCCAAAGTTTAAATCAAGTTGAAAAGTGAAAATGGCCTTGGTAGCACCGCTCTACTTGCGCAGGGGATCCAAACTCTCCAGCGAAAAGTCGTCAAGGTTTAGCTGATTTTGCTGTAAAGCAAATATAAATATTAATAACAATTTAAAGACGTATTACACACACAAAACTCACCTTGAAAATGGTCGGTCCATTGTTCATTTCAAAGGGATCCGAACCGAATAGATCTGTATTGCCATTTAGGCCGTTGCCCGTTGTTACCGAGTTTAGGCGCCTGGGAGCAGCAATCTTTGGCGGCGGCGCCACTGCAAATGGAAATCAGATCGTCAATAAAGAAGCCTAACTTATAAAATATTGATTTCAAAACATACACAAAGGCGGCGTAATGTTCAGCTCGCTGGAGAAACCACTGCTATTAATGGTACTGTTATTGCTTGTGATCAGTAAGCTGCTGTTATTGTTATTCTGCAGCTTGTGATCGTTGTTGTTAACAAACAGCTGCTGACCAAAACTCTTCGACGGCTCAAAGCCAAATAGATCATTGCTGATCGCATTCCGGCCGTTGCTGCCGTTGTCCTGAATCTCATCGGCTCGCGGATCGAAATCACTATCGGAATCGGAGTTCAGCAACAGCTCGTCCATCTTTTGGCTGTTGCTGTTGCTCTTGCCACCGATGCTGATCTGGCTGGACAGATTGTTCCGCGGCGGGACAATGGGCAAGAACGAGCTGGGCGACGCCGAGTGGGTCGATGCCGTGGTGGAATTGGTGTCAATCAGCAGTTTGTCATCATCTGAAGTACATAAAATGAATTAGTTTGTGAACGACAAAAAGGTTTTCTTTAATCCTACCCAGCTTGCCGTTGCTCAGGGCTTCGGTGGCCACCTCGACTCCATTCTGTGGCTCTGTGATGGGCGCTTCCAGGATGTCTTTGATGCCCATACTGAAGAGCAGGGCATCCAGCTCAGCCTTTGGCAATTTGGCGGAAACTTCGCGCAGTCGCTCCTTGTAAACATTTGCAGTTTGCTGCAGATGATTGATCTGCTGCTGCGCCTTGCTCAGATTCGTCTTCTCAGTGCTGTCCATGTACTTCCTGTTAACAAAATAGAGTCATTAGATGATATGTTTAAAATATAATTGCAAATTAACCCACCTGTAGGCCAAATCGAAGGCCTGACCAATAGTCAGCGTGATATCCGAGGCCAATTTGTTCGAAATAAAGACAAAGCACTCGTGGCTCTCCTCCGCTTTGGCACTTCCATCGCCATTTCCGTTCGCATGGCCATTTGTCGCCGGATCGCTGCCGTCCCGCGTCTTCACCGACTTTGCAATGAAACTAAAGAACTTCTTCACACCCTTCTCGTCCGCACAGTACGAGATGTTGTACAGCGGAAACTGGTGCAGGATCTTGTGGGTGCGCGGCTCCTGGATGGCCACGCCCTTGATGCTGATGGTGATCTCCAGCTTCTTGAACTTCTCCTGGGTGCCCGTCTCCGCCTTCTTCATCTGCTGGGCAAACTGCAGCTTCCGAATGGCCTCCTTGACCACCTCGATGCCCTTGGGCTGGTCCACGCTCAGGTTACCAAAGAACTTGAAAGGGGAAAACAATGGAGTACAGTTAGAAAAAATTCATGTTGAGGTTATATAAGATATAATAAATTCTTTTAATATTTTTACCCATATTTATAAATTCCTCACCGCTTTTTACGAAAGTTTTAAATGTTAATTATTTAATGTAATTGTTAATTACATTTTACCTTAGTTTTACACCCAGAAAGGAATTTACTCTTGCCATTATAGATAAATTTGTTCCATTTAAGGCCTAGTACTCACTTCAATCGAAAAGCCTACGAAATTAAAATCCCCATACAAAATTTTGAACACGAAATTTTCCGCCTGTCATTTTTGTATAGAAATTTTCGTTTCGTTGGCTTTTTGATTGAAGTGAGTACTAGGCCTAACTTATGAAATTAGGCAATTCAATTGCATTTATCTACAGTAGTTAGTTAGACAGCTTAAAAGTCAAAATAAAGATTTAAGTTAACAAAATTTCATCAGGAATATAAGAGTCATGTAGGTATTATTAAACTCAATAGTCGATTCGCTATAAAGAAAAACTACTTTAAAGAAATATAAATAATTTTACTACATATGTCGTTAGAACGTGGTAGCTTATGACCGCTGAAAGTATTGGTTGTTTTTAGTTTTCCTAAACCAGCATTTTTAGTCTAACGATATAAAGGTAAATGTTGAAAGGATCATTGCTGGTATTTCACATTAAGTATACGCAACGAGGGACACTCGAGAATAGCAAGGTGACTCTTAGACGAATTATTTTTCAATTTAACTTGAAATTTCTACTTCTTTTAGGCATTGTTTGGCTCTACATTATTATTTGGGTAAATATCACCCCAAGAAACCAAAACATTTTCTCGCAATGTACCGCCTATCGGGGTCGTCACAGGTGGGTTGTCCCTTGCTCACCTTGACTAGATAGACCGCGTGTCCGCTGATGAGCTGCTCCGGCGTGTGCAGCCAGTTGCGCTTGCCGCTCTTCGCCTCGCCTTTGGCATCCCCGTTGCTGTTGCTGCCAGTGCCGCCGCCACTGGTGTTGTTGCCCCCGTCGGCGGCGTCCTTGTCCTTGTCCTGTTGCTGCTGCTTGCTGCTGTTCTGCTTGTTCCAGAACTTCAGCTGGGCCATCTTGGCCGCCGCCTTGCTGCCGCCAGACGTCCCGCCGCTGTTGGCTGGCTGATAAGGCATTGTTGTGGTCGGCGCCGTTTTTGAGCGTTTGAGGGAGCTGTAAATCGGAATCAGAATTGACAAATGAGTTGCGGATCGAACGAACTTTGCCCGGCATCGTTGGGTTTTTCCTCTCAAATCCCTCGAGTATAAAATATAATGTGCATACAAATTCCAGCTGTCGCTGTACTGCTAATTATCGTTATACAACCGACTGAATCTGAATGTATTCTTTTGGCTAATTGCAAATCGTGTTCAGAGAGAGGGACAGCAAAGAATCTACAATGCTACGAATGGGGCGGGGGAGATTCGGATCCATGAAAGCCAATCCCATCTGCGTCACCGCAGACTCAAACCTGTTGCCTCCGTCAGCTGTCGAGATCGGTGCACTTGGACCTAGACATTTCTATAAAAGCACAGCTCGTTTTGGAATTACACAAAGAAAAATGACCATTATGAAATTGACAACATCTTAGGTAAAACCAGAAACCAGCCGAGATTCTAGGAAATTTAAATCACTTATTCATTAACCTTGAGATTATTATTTTTGGCAGCTCTCAAATCGAGCAAAAAAATCACAATCAAGTGTTTAATAAGTACTGAAGTATGGTTTTTGATTAATTAATACTTATTTATAGTTTTATATGGGTTTTAAACGTCGTGAACCTCTGATTTTTGGAATGCGTGAGCCTAGAGTAATGTTTAATTTGAGTGTTTACAACAAAGGAATAGATTTCCATTATATTTTTCCGTATTCCAGAATTCAACTTGCACCCTTTGAGAAAACATTACAAAATGAAACCGTAAGGAAGCTCTCTTTTGTAAGTACATTTTTAATTTTGTTATCATAAATGAGGTCGCCTCACCACAGACTTTTTATACATTTAAGAATATGACTCAGATTGTGAAATTCTTAAGCCGGTTTATCAATATTTCCAGGCTTTGTATCTAGTTCTTTCAAGTCGCCCCCTTCAGTTACGAAACGC